TCTCTTGGTGGTAACTAAGCAGCACAGGCACTCACCCTCCTTCTTTTTCTCGATCTCAGCAGTAGATTTATAATTAACCAGCAGGCTTTACCTGAGCCCCTCAGTGTGTGCATTGTTCTCAGCTGCACCAGACACAAAGAGAGAGCACAACTGGGAGCAAAACAGCACAGCCACAGACTGTTTGCTGCTAACATTAAACTCCTTCAATAAACCACGATGTGAATGAATTAAAACATATAACTCACAACTGAGCTTTTCTGGTATGTTTTTCTAGTCTTTGTATTAAAAAATATGCTCTATATAGGATGGACTTTATCCTTTCTTGTAACTGGTTTAGATCAATATTAAATATTAAGGTTTCCTGACCTGAAGCTTACATAAGCTAGAAAAAGTGTACATACAACGAAAATCACACTTATTATAAAAATGGTTATGATGCTTATTATTTTCACACATCAAGAAGGCCCCCACTGTTTGTGTAAAGTCCCTTATTTATTTCAGTTGGTGAGCTAAAAAGGGAAAAGTGGGCTATGCTATGGAATGCCACAGTAACTCTTAACAGCTGAAACAATACCAGGCAATGGGAGACGCAAAGGAGACCAAGGCATTAGACATACACATATGCGTGCACAGCCACACTCTAACAACAGGAGTTGGCTACAGCTGAGAGTCAATTCAGAGAAATTAAGCCATCAGCTTAAGCTGATTATGCTATCCCAATCTAATCAACCCCTCAGGGTAGAAAAAATAAACTATGAAAATGGGCATAAAAACAAAAATATGTTATGCCATTTCATTGTTAGGTGGTTTATGCTGACGAGGAACTGTAAAGAAAGAATGGAGACCGTATCGCATGGTATCCCAGATCATCAAGAGCCAGTTAACTCATAAATTAGGCAACTTCACTACATGATTTGAATATGCCAGAACTACAACTGACTCATCAGATAGACAAGATGAAGGATTTCACCAGGGAATTCAAAAGTGGGGATATTGCAATATACAATTACTGTTTATCTTGTCACGATCTTCATTAAAGAACCAGAACAGTTCAAGTTCATTACATTCCCACAGGGGAAGAAACATTTCTCAGTAAAAAGCTGTAAACAACTATTTTAAGTAACTGCTAGCCCATGAGAAGTCTGAGTTAAAGGGATGCCCTAGGGGTTTGGGTGGGGGAAGCACTGGCCTTGACACAGCCTTTGGCCTTGTTAGCCTACAGGAACAGACAGAGAAAGCAGAGGTAGACTGACAGGAATAGGGAGGAAAGTATAAAGGTAGAAATGGAAAGTAAGTGTGTAAAGGCAGTGAAGACATTATTTTTCACAAGCTTTACATCACTATTCAAATAAATGAGGTGAAGGTTTGCATTAATATAAACCAATGTGCTTGCAAATAAGTGTATAAAATGATTCTACTATGCTAGTCCTGTAATACTTTGCAGCTTTTAAATATTTAGTATGAACTTAGAAAGCCAAGAGACAGTAAAAAAAACAAATTATTTCTGTCCAGAATAATTAACACAACTATAGACAAAATATGAGAAATTTCCGTAGCATCGAGAATGTTAAAAATATTCAGAATGACACATATCTCAGTGATCAAATCTTGAGGCAGATAACTTGACCAAAAAATATCTGTCAAATCTAAATATCTATTTCTATGATTTATTATTACATATTTTATTACATATTACTGATCATTTTTATCACTTATGCTCCTTAAAATACTTGAATAAAACATCTGAAAATATTTTATGGTGTCTAGTTCATAATGTGCAAATCTACAGTACACAAGTTATTACTGTATACACAACAACAACAACAACAATAATAATAATAATAATAATAATAATCATTCCGACCTTTGGAATGGTATTGTACAGGAAGCAAGGGTGAGGACAGTATGGAGTGCACAGCTTGATTTAGAAGCTATTCCCTCATTCCTCAGCCCTGCCCAGGAATGCCCAGTTGGAGAAGGTCCCCTCTCCCTGCTACTGTCAGGGCCTAAAAGCCCAACCTATCTTCCCTGGGCTCAGCTGCTCCAAGGCGGGGGGATGCAGGGACACACAAGGGAACAGAGGGCACGAGAATTTTAGGGAGACCGCCACACCCTGTGTGTGTGTGTGTGAGTGTATGAGAGTGAGTGTGAGGGGTCGAGGGCAGGGAGACAGCTGAAATTCCAAACGCTCCAAACAGCCTGGAATTAGAAATATCCTCCCACTCAGACCGTATGCACACTCCTAGTACATACACACGCACCTACTGCATCTACATTAGGCCCTGCAGCAGTGTGGTTTAGAGAGAGAGACACACACTGGTATACACATGGAATCTAAAGCACTTAGTCCGGTATAAACATATGTTTAGTCAGGGAGGGAAAACATGTTGGTCCCCTAATCACTATTCCCTACACTGGTAAACTGGCAGAATTATACAGAACACTATTATAGGTAACAGAATTTGGGATTCAAATAAATAACTTTACTAATATTACCCAGGTTTGCTCAACACTCTAAAACAATGGCAGCAGCAGAGCCACATTTCATCGCATATGACAATGCATTATGGGTATTCTGAGACTGCTAGGGTATACCATTTGTATGCTACTTATTGCCCTGTATTGTGGGATAAAAAGTATGCACTAGATATTCTTCTCCATCTTTTCAGAAACCACTACAAAAGGTAAAGTTTCAGATCAAGCTGATGTACATCTCATTGAATTAGGACCCAAGTGTAAATCCCTACACCCTATTTTTCAGTAACTCCCACAGACTTAGTGTGCTCAGTATTTACAAGTTAAACAATAAGAGTGACTAATCCGACACCTTCTTCTTTTTGCCCAGCATGCCGGACTGTTAGCCACCCCCATCACAAAGCCCATGCACACAAACACAAGATCTCTGTCTTTGTCTCTTGCATAAAAACACAGCACAGACACAGACACACACACACGCCTTGCTCATTTGGGTTTATCCTGCCTCCCCCCTCTCTAAACTCAGCAATGACATCATTACTTTGGATTGGATGTCTATGAAATGGAGTCTGGCTTGCAGGAGAGGAGGGGGGAGAGTAGTCCTTTTTCATGGCAGACAGGCACTTTGGCTCTCCAAATTACCTTCACACATTTCATTAGTAAGTGGAATGGGGGACAGGGAAAGGGGAGACGGGATGGGGAATTGAGTTTAAGGGAGTTTGTACAGAGAAAGAGAGAGACTGCGTGTGTAAGAAAAGGGCCGAGAGAGGATGGAAAAACCGTGTAGACAGCCAAGTAGGATGAAAGAAGATCTCAAGCAAGTCTTAGCTAGCATTCTCTTCATCCCCTCTCTTTCTGTCTAATGTGCAAGACCCCATTCCAGAGCTTCCTAAAAATACCCCCATGCACACAGACTGTCTCTCCATGTTCTACATACAGCACTGGCTTAGCCTCCTCACTGACTGCCTTTTCTCCAGTATTGATCCAGCACACAGATGTGCACTGCTACATTCTTTTTTGCTAGGCTTTTTTCTCTCAGGATATTCAGACTTTTGTTGCCCCCCTTTCTTTATTGCTCTCTCGTGCTACACCTCTTTATCCTGCTTTAATACAGCCCTCCAGGCTGCTGTGGGGAGAGACAGAAGGTGGGGGGAGAGGGGCAGCAGTGTGTACTGTAGCTGACCATGTTATTAATAGGGAGGGTAAATCTGAAATCTTAGCAAGACTTTCAAACAAAGACTGGAGGTAGATTGCAGAAAGCAGGACAGTAAAAGGAAGAACAGAAAGAACAATAAATGATGGAAAAAGTAGAAAGAAAACACACACAAGTATACCACAACCAAAGTACAGTCTGCAGTAAAGATAATGTTTACTTCAAAAACGCTCTGTGCAGTTTGAATCATTAACGGGCGAATTTTTCAGATAAGCACGACAAGCTGCCAGCATATTTTGTCCAGAGCCAAGTTGGGCGAGTCAGTGCTAGTCTGATGCGGAGACAGTGGGAGCAGAGACTGTTCCTGTGATTAGTTCTGCTCTCAGATTTAGCTCAGTGTCCATCACCGCAGTGACAAGTCTAATGAGCTCTCATAGCCGGTGCCGAACAGTGGGAGGCAAGAACAGCTACAGGAAAACAGTTCACAGCAAATAAATGCCATGTTAGTGCACAATGCTCCCAATGACAGTGACTCAGCAAGGTAGGCTTTGCAACAAAAATCCCTGATTCATTCTCTCCCACTCTAAGAACCTCGCTCGACCCTGGTCCCACATCATTCATTTCGTATACACCCACAAGTATGCCTCTTCTCTCCCTCCCTCTTTCCCTTTCATTTCACACTCTGGAGGCAAATGAGTAAGAGCAGGAGAGGGAATGATACATCAGACAGACGGACTATAAATTCAACTGCAAGCCAGGGAGAGTGTGGGGAGGTCACCACTGATCAGCCTGGGTTGGAGCAGTTTTCTCAGCAGAGGAGAAAGAGTAACTGCGTCATACTGTTTCTCCCTGCTCCTACTCCTACTCCTACTCCTCCTCCTTCTGTAGAGACGCAGGCTGGGACAAGTGCCCAGATGGGGGCTGACGGCTGGAGCTGATTTAGCGAGTCGAGTTGTGATCCACAGACGCTAATATCGCCTCTTGATGGCCCTCACACACTTGTCTGGCTTTGCTCAGTCTCTCTCACACGTGCACACACAGCCTCTCAATGATCAGCTGCTTGAAGAGACTGTACAGTATAATTTATGCCAAATTACAGGTCTTGTCTGAGTTAGTTTATATTCAAATTACACTGGCGGGTAGAGAAAATCTCTCCAAAGAACCCAAGGTAGCTGAAAGAAAAATCTCACAAAGAGCGACTTTCTAAACAGTCACCAGCTCATACCTCCGCATGAGTCATTAGCAATAGGCTCTTCAGTGCTCAAATGAATTCCAAATATGAATTAGTGTTCCAAGCCACAATTACAGAATCTGTCATCTGATACAAAAACACAGATGCTTTAGCATGACAGAAAGCCTAGTCCCTTCCTACCTTGAACTCCTGAAGCTGTTGTTTGATGACGTCCACTTCTGTTCCCACAACTCCCTGCGCGTTTACTCCTTCCTCTGCCTGGTCCAACAGCCCCTGCAGTTCCATGAGGCGGGCATAGAACTCCCTCACCCGCTCCTCAGCTGCTTCTATGAGAGACAGTCGGCCCTGGCCCCGTTCGGCTAGCTTTGCTGCCTGACGGCTCAACGCCTCTGTCTCCCTTCTGAGGGCCAACAGATCTGGAGAGCTGCCTTCTCTGCGCAGCATGGTGGTGCACTCGCCCCCGTGGCCCTCCAGCTCAGCACGGAGGGTGGCCAGCCGGCCTAGGAAGCCCTTCACTGCCTCGGCCTGCGAGGCCAGGGAGTCCGCATCCCGTCCAACAGGGCTCAGGCTGTCGAGCTCGTCATCCAAGTCAGCCAGTCGAGAGAAGACATCGCGGACGCGGGACTGGACCTCCCCCACACCCTGCAGGCGAGACTCCAAGGACGAGCAGCACTGCTCAATCTATGGAACAGACAGTAAATATTGAAATAGAACTCATAGTTTGACTTCATACAAATAGCTCAACTTCTAAATAAGATGATAGTGTGTTTTGTATTTGTAATAGGTGGAATGATTTGCAAATAGTTTTTGGATAATGTCAATGGACTGAAGGAACTGTTACACCACTATTCAAACATCTTCAGTGTTTTCAATAATGTAAAATCAATTTGGTTACAGTTAAATGTATGATGTTAATATGCTAGTTCTTCACATGATGAGGTTTCAAGTGATGAGTAAGCTAGGAAGCCATTTAAATAAATAAATATCTAGTAATTAAGTTAGAATGAACATTATAAGGTGATCATTTGTAAAATTATGATAAATAGGTGTTCTTATAAACAGTAGGCTATTTACTTTCCTTAGATAAATTCATATTGTTCCCAAAATAATTCAAATACTAAGAAAAACATTGAAAATACCTTCTGGGGTCTCATTTATAATCTATAAATCCAAAATATATAGGTTATTATTGTATAACAATAAATTGGAATGATTACTGCAGCTATAGATATCTGGAAACACACCCCACATTTGGACTGACAGAAAAGAGTTACTGTGTTTTCTTTCGACTCAGACTTGCACATGCTCAGACACAAACAGCACTTAAGACTACATACAGGAGCCTGTCTACTGTCTCAGTTTTGACATACTCTAGAAGTCTGACCTTGTGCAGATCACAATTCACTTTCCTCACCTTATCAGTGACCTCCTCTAATTCTCTCTCTGTGTCACGGACCTGTCGCACCAGTCGCTGTGCTCCCTCTCCGCTCTCCTCTGCTGCCTTTGGCATGTCCTGCACTAGCCCCTGGGCTAGATCCCGCAGATACACCACCTGTGGCTGCAGCGAGTTCAGCATCTCCTGCTGGCTGCGTAGCCGCTCCAGGCTCTTGTTGCTGCAGGCCTGTGGGCCCAGCGCTTCCTGGACCTCCAGCTGATGCTTGGCTGCCTCTAGCCTCCTCTCTACTGCCTGCCTGCCTTCTTCAAATTCCCTCAGTCTGTTGCCCAACTCCTCCAGCTGTGCAGTGCGCCCATGTAATTTCTCGGAGAGGCTATCCACCCTGCGGTTCAACTGGGCTTTCTCGTCCCTCACCTCCTCCTCACCAGTCCTGCTCTGCTCCAGCAACTGGTCTGCTGCTAAATTCAGAGCCTCCAGCAGGGGACGACGGCGATCTAAGTCCAAGCCTAGCTGCTTGGCCTTCTGCAAGGCATCCTCCAGGGCAGCAGCATCGAGAGAGGGCAGGATCTCTGTCTCTCTCTTCTCACACTCAGTCACCCACGGAGCCAGCTCGTCCCGATGTTGCTTATACTGTTCAGCGCGGGACAGTGTCTCTTTCACACGTGCCTGCCTCTCACTAAGGCGCTGATTCAGGCCCTCCCAGTCCTGCCGAAGGGTAGTCAGCCGGGCCTGAAGGGCTGAGCGCTCATCTCCAGTGGGCAGTGATCCCAGGAGAGATGCACCTTCAGCCTGGATGAGCTCGTACGACCCACGCTGTTGTGCAACCCCTCTCAGGAGCTCCTCTTGCTGGGTCAGCAGGGTCTGCAGAGCTTCTGGCTGGCAGGGGAGGGGATCAGACACACTGCCTGTACGCTCACCAGCTTGTCCATCCAACCAGCTACGAAGCTCCTCAAACATCTGCTGGAACTGTTGTGTGCTTGAGAGAGCAGACTGTAGTTGGGACAAGCCATCCGCTGTAGCAGACAGAGAGCAAGAGACAGAGCAAGGTCAACGCATGTTAAGGGATCCATACCATATATTTATATACAAGCAACACATTACAGACCAAATGTTTAGAAGCAACAGTAACTTTTTTCTTAATTTGTTTTGCTCCTGATTGTGCTGCGCAACTTTACTGATAACTACTGATATATCCACCTGATTCTAACAATCAGATGCTCTTGAAGGCTTGATGTTATAAATCAAGTTAAATTAGAGTTAAATTAGGAGACCTATAACACCGTTCCCTGTTGTGTTGTCTTGGCTGTCGCCACAATTGTAAAATATTTCTTAAACTTTTTTCTTAAAAATATCTCTAATTAAACCTTGTTATTCATCATTTATAATGTCACATCAGTTGATGCTTTCTTCTAATTATGCAGCTTTAAATATTTATGAATTGATTACTGTACATTTAGAGCAAGATCTGTCAAAAATTACCAAAGTTACCAAAAATTCAAACCTATATGCTAACTGACCTGCTCTTTCCTCTAGGCTGTTGAGTGGGCCACTGACACTCTCAAGTCTCTTGTGTAGCTCCTCTCGAAGGTAAGGCTCTGCTACAATGGCACTTAGCTCTGCACACAGCTCCTCAGCCTTGGCCAGCTGGCCTTTCCTCTGCTCCAACTCAGCTCGGATCTCCCCTGTCTCCTGCAGCCTGCGGCGCAGGGCCTCAGGCTGGGCGCTCAAGGAGGCCTGGGCATCTAGTCTCTCAGCCAGATCAGCCGCACTCATGGAGAGTTCCCTCAGCAGAGTCTGGAAGCGCTCACTGGTCCCTTGTGCCTGGTCGATCTGCTCTGAGCGTTCAGAGAGCCGAGAAGTCAGATCATCCCACTGCCGGGTGATGTCGGCCAGCTCCTGCTGCACCTCCACCAGGTCATGACCATCCCCGGATCCGTGTTCCCCTGTAGGAGAGAGGATGCCCTCAGCAGCCTGGATCAGCTGGTCAAACTGTGGACGCCGCGTCTCAAACTCACGTAGCATGAACTGGAGAGAGAGAGAGGGAAGGAGAGACAATGGCAGAATTATTGACTAATCAAATTGTGTGAATCAAGCTGTACGATGTCATGCCAACCCCAGTGACTCTCTTCTTTAAACAGCCTACTCTTACCGAGCATTATTAATAGGAGGAAAGAGAATAAACCAATTACACAGAATGTGAGCATTTTTATTATACCTGTACTTGTTGTTTCTGAGTGTTGAGCATGTTTGGGTCAATGCTCAAGGGACCAAGCACACTCATCATCAGCTCCTTCTCTCGCAGCCAGGGACCTAGTTGACCCGCTGCTGATGCAAAGCTGCCCAGCCTGTCAGCACATGTCTCCAATTCGGTCTGCCTCTGAGCTGCAGTCTTATTTGCTTTCTCCCACCGAGAGTCTATAAGCAGGAGCAAATGTGAATGTGGCTGATTAAAACAAACAAAACAACCTGATATAACGCTTCTAGAAACCATAACAGAAGCTCAGCGCTCTGGCACCCTTGGCAACATGAATATTCTGGGGTACCTTGAATGGCAGAGTGTGACTGTAAATAATCATTTTAGATGGAAATACAGCAAGGGCCATGGCGTGTTTAGATATAAGGAGTGTAAGGCAATCACTTCTAATTTAGTCTGCTACTCCACTGCTATCAGAAACAAAAACATGCACAATATCTTAGAAGGAACATGTTTCTGCGTTTAGGGTCTCTCTGTGACATGCAGAGCCAGTCTGGCACCCTCACATAGTTTAAATAAAGCACCAGGTCTGTGGACTGGTTCTGCTTTGAGAATGGTTTTCATCCTTTGAGTCATGGCAGAAATATGACATATTAAGTGGGGACTGAAAGCTCTTCCTGAAGCTCGCTGCATCCTCCAGCCTCCCTCCAGTTCCTCCGACCTACCACGCTTTTGTTTGATGCACCAGAACTACAGCCCCCACACAAGTATTTTTAGTTATTTGGTGCCCCATAAACATGCAGAGAAAGCTTGAAATGTCTTATTTAATGACAACAGGAACATTCAAATAAGCAGAGCTCAGTGTTACACAGGTTTAATTAAGAACCACTGGTCCATTGTTATCATTAATTGATCTCAGTAAACAGTTACTGCGCTGTGGAAAGTCAACCCTTAATAAAACCATTCTTTACCCCTTTCCCCCCATTCTACTGTCCCTACTTGTCTTTTTCACTGACCTATGTCTTTGAGCTGTTGTTTCCAGGTCTCTGCTTCTGGGGAATCTGGGTTTTCTGTTATCAGCTGCTTCAGGGTGTTCTTCAGATCCTCCACCTTCCCAGAATGCTCTGTGAGTTCAGATAGCAAGGCCTGCATGGCAAATATATCATGCAGTCAGATTATTGATTATGCAACCACTTGGAGTGACACCAGCAGGCTAGAAATGCGGTGTTCAGCCCAGTCAAATTACAGTTCTTATCCATGCTTATTTCCTGTGTTTTACAGGAGCCATTGCATAACAACGTCCATGTAAGCATGTAAGTACTTTAGGCAACTGCTGAACTGCAAATACAGATATGTCAAAAACCTAATCCTTGGCATTCACCTTGTTCTCCCGGGCCTGGGCCTGAACCACCTCGGGCCGTGAGGGTGAGGCAGTCTGTCCCCGGGTCAGACTCTGCTCACGAGGGCCCAACCACTGCAGAAGAGTCTCAGTGTCCTGCCTGGCCTTCAGGCGCAGTTCCAGAGACACCTGCTGCCTACCCTGCCTCTCCTGCAGATTCCCACCCAGCTGCTCATACCTGCTGTTCACTTCTGCCACCGCTACCTGGATCTCAGTCAGGTCTGAGAGGAAGAGAGGGGAAGGATAGAAGAGAAATGATGACAGAATTATACTGTACAGACAGATGAATGCATAAGGGGAAAAGTAACAACAGTGTTCTTCTGTAGGGACAGAACCCGATCTGAAACATCGTTATTTGTAACATCAAGCCTGAGCCAATTTCAAACCTTTCTTAAGACAATTTTATCCCACTGCACTCTGTTACACCACTGCCAGAGGTGAAAAATGGACATTATATACAAATCGCAGCAATGAGTCACATTGCCAGAAGTTAACAAGTGGTTCAAATGTCTGCAGTGTGGAACTACTTTAAGGTAGGAAATGAACACAGCCCAACAGCCACTTGTAAAATCTGCACTGTCAATGTCAAAACCTGGTTAAATTAGCCAATATCGAAGTGTGGTTATGACACGCTTGGCAATATGACTAACAGCACATTCACAACTGGAAAAAGGAAAAAGGAAGCTTTAGCTCAAGTTTGACAAATCTGAAAAATGAAAGTAGACTATTCAAGACACTGAACATGGTCATTTTAAAAAAGCAGCCCAAAAGACAAAACTTATCAGCATGACACACTGTGCACATAACTAAATACTTTACTGTAGTATTTTAAAGTAATAGGTAGGCTAGCATATCTTACCTAAACTAAGTTGATTTCTAACTTGTATTTAACTGTATTTTAAGTGTGCACTGTAAACTATTATCTACAAAAACACAAACATAAAATCAAGACTCAGTATTTGCAGACATTTCATATTAAATAACAAAAAAAAACATTCACTGGGACATCCCTTTCCTACTTTATCTTCTACACAATGGAGATGCTGCCTTGGGAGTCCAGGGGCTCCACAATAGACTTTTTTATAACTACAAATAAGCTAAATGTGTACAAACAAAAGCTGACGCACAGCATTCCAAGCACACTGTGAAAGCAGACTGACAGAAGAAGGAAAGGGGCAATGCACTGCATGATGAATCACAGAATGGTGGTGAATGAAAGAATGGGAATGTGATGGATGTGAAGTGCCCTGCAGCACGGGGCATTCCGTTATGCTCAGTGACTGAGGGCTTGAGGGAGCTCACCTTTGCAGGTGTGAATGCCATTGACACTGCTGGAGCTGCCGGCACCATTGAGCTGGGAAACACCTGGGAGAGAGGCACACACTCAGACACCACTGCTATACACACATGCGTGAACACAACAAACACATAAGCACACATAGACATCTGACCTCTATACAGACAAAAGCTCACATGGGCAAAACATAAAGGACACTCAAGCAGACATATACACTTATCTTAATGTAAAGAGAACATGTTTTCATATGGATTTATACCTTCTGAATATAAATAACACCCCTGACTAACATTAGAGGTGTAAGAGGTGACTGACTACAGTTAGAGGTGAAACGGTTCACCCCTTTCACAGTTCATTTCATCCTTGATTTCTATGCCACAGAAAGGTTTGTATCACGGTTCAGCCCTAAAAAAAATGCAACCAACTTTTAACCTCTTTTTTTCCTGTTTTTCACACAAGTTTAATCCAAGATATGCAAATAGAAAACATAAGTCTTTTCAAAAGGAGGATGAACTAAACTACATTTAAAAGTTGCAAAACAAAGTGCAAACTCAAAAACAACTAAAATTAATTTAAACATCAACAAGTAGAACAAAACATCAAATGGAATAAAAAAAATCGTAAGCACCAAGTATTAAAGCAACTGTACCAATCAGCATATATAAAAAATGTAAACAGCAAGCAAATTAAATGTAAACATCAAATGAAATAACTCTAACCATCACTCAGCTTTTAAGTTTTCCTTTTATCAAGATAGTGTTTGCATTTTTTGCATGTGTATGGAACATGTTTACTGAAATGCAGTGCTTAGAATTTCATACAGTCTTTGCAACTTTTGTACTCTTACCAGTATTGTTGCGTGAAGCTGTGATATCGATGATCAGACTCTCTAGTTCTGAACTGCTCTTGTTCAGCTCCTGAACCCGGCTGCTCTGGGATTCCCATTCACTCAGCAGGTCCTAAGAGATAGTTATAAGCAGCTTTTGAGATTGCAACATGCAGGACACAGCTCAGAGCTGTTTTCAGTTGGATAACATAGTGGATAATTCCATTGCCCCTCACACAACAGGTCTGACGCCCTAGTCTATGCCAATAAGATACATTACACACTGCACCTACTAGGCAAGACTTCTAGTGACACATTAATGCAACCATTCTAAGTAAATCTGGTTAAGAATTTCTGCTAAACATATACACTGTAAAAGGAAAATATGACAGAATATGACATACTGCAGACACACACATACCTTGAGCTGCTGCACCCTTCTCTGAAGGCCATCGGTGTTCAGGCTTGGCTCTTTAGCAGGCAGCTGCTCCTGCACTGTCTGCAGCCACCTGAGGAGGGAGCCAGACAGTGAGCGGAACTCTGAGAGTTGCAGCTCACAGCTCTGGATGGCACTCAACCTGCAGAAGAGACAATAAATAATGAAACATGGCAATTTAAAGCAAGCATGAACTACACTAGTGCTAATGTAGAATCACTTTCATTTGAAATATCTAATTCTAAAGCCTTTCTTTTACAACTGTCTCCCAAACCACGGCTTTAAAACCTCCCAATGTAGTTGGCTGGGCTTCATCAGTCTTGCACTTCTGCCATTAGAGAATGGCTACACATGCAAGTATTTTAAGTGATTGCGACAGCCCAGGCCTTTGTGAAGGACATTTAACAGAACCAAGCTCCCATGTAGCCTCTTACACAGACAGCACGCCTACTCTACAGTTATCCAGAGCAAAGGTGAAGGAGCATTTACACAAACAGGCTGCATAACTATAATTTCATTTCTCATATGACAAAACTGTCATTAAACTCGGCATGGGGAGTTGGTTGAAACAAAGCCTTGTCTATTTTGGCATTTCAGACATAAAAACCTCCAGAAAAGCATCCTGAATGGAAAGTGATGTCCAGTATGATGCTAGGCACTCAAAGTAAAACAACCACACGTTTTATTGCCTCTGTGTGGAGACTGGCATCACTTTTATGAGGTTAACGGGCTTGACATGTATGTGACAAGCGGAAGACCGTGGCTGTCCAGGTGTCACATTTCATCAGGAAACTGTGAAGGAATATAACCGAAAACTAATTCGGTTTTCGGATTTCCTAATACAACAACATCTCTAGTGCCCTTATAAGGTGCTAACTAAGAGAGGATACAGGAGAGGACAGGTGAGAGCGCCCCCATCCCAGTGTCCAGCACTCACTTCTCATTGACACTGGCTTCTAGTTTGGCAAACTCCTCAGACACCTCTTTGGTTGAGTCCAGAAGGCTGTGTGCACTGGCAAGTACCCTAGACTGGCTCAGGTCTGTACCAAGCTCCACAAATGACTTCAGCTGACTTGCTTCCTGTGAAAGCTCTGATTTCACCTCCTAAAATGAAAACATGATAAGATAAATGTGTAAGTTCTTAAGCGACATTTAAATTCAGTTTCATGGCTGCTGTCTGTAGATGATTTCCATTACCTCTACAGTGTGTCTATAGTCCTCTATGCTATGCTCTGGCTGGCCCCCTAGACTCAGCGCTCTCTCTCGGCTCTGTGTGAAGCTGTGGAGGTCCATGCTCAAACGCTCAAAGCTCTCCAGCTTGGGCAGAACTCCCCGCAGTTCTGCCTCATTCTCAGCCTGCTTGGTCTGGGCTGTTGTGTAGCGCTGTGTAAGGTCCTGCAGTGCCCCCTGCAGTCCAGAGACTGTTGATGCATCCGCAGATTTCACGAGCTTGGACACAGAGTCACGAGTAGCATCTACGCTGCCTTGCCGTGATAACAACTCCTGCCGCAGTTTCTGAAAACATCATGAGAGAAAGATCATGAAAAGATCCTGAGGAAAAAAAATGATTATGAAATTATACACATAACTTGTTTAATCTTTGATTCTCTAAATTCCCTTACGTAATTAGCACAATTTGAGGTGTTAAAGCACTAATTTGGTGTAAAATTAAATGTTGAAAGTGTTTTCCTCATTATCATCATCTTAAACTAGGGTCATGGTTGCAATGGGGAAAGCAGAAAAGCCCACACAATACTGGCCCGCACAACTTTCTCCAGCTTATTCTAAGGGATCCCGAGCCACTCCCAATCCCTCCAGCAGGTCCTAGGGATGACCTCAGGGTGTAGTGCCAGAGGGCTGTGCATGGTAAACCTCCAAAGGAAGGCAGCCAGGGGGCATCCGGTTCAGATGCCCGAACCACCTCAACTGGCTCCTTTCAGTAGTGCCTCTACTTTGAGCTCCTTCTGGATGACTGAGCTCCTCAACCTATCAAGCATAGTGTAGCCCACCACCCTGCGATGCACGTTCATTTCTGCTGCTTGCATTCGCAATCTCATTCTTTCGGTCATTAACCAAAGCTCATGACCATAGGTGAGATTGGGAATGCAGACCAACCAGTAAACAGAGAGCTTTGCCTTATGGCTCATCTCCCTCTTCACCATTACAGTTCAGTACAGCCACCGCATTAAACGGCTGATATGCGGATCAGCATGTCTGAGTCCATGGTTCTCGCTCGGAAAACAGTTTTCCCTTTACGTGAAATGCAAAGGGCATACTGGTACCTAATGGATAAAATTACGCTGCATGCCCAAAATCGGTAGTAGCAGGCGTCTTGAAGCTAGGGCTAGTCGATGTACTGATATTTATGATATATTTCAGATTTTATTTGAGCTACAAAGATAAAGCTGTGATTATAAAGTGCCTCTTTAAGAGGAGTTCATGCACACTTCATGCAGATTTCAGTTGGGTTTCCTGAAGACCACAGCAACCACATAGCCCCTCTTGTATGAGAGTATTAGACAGTTAAGCTCAATTAACAAAATGGAAATCTGAAGCAACATGTATCATGTTAAGAAGGTGAGTACCATTTAATTACATTACCATTATTATACCTAATAAATGGCTGTTCAGTCCAACGTATGATTTCCAATGGATAAAACACCCTTTAAAGCCATTTCAGAAAAAAAGCATGAATATCAAGACATATATGTAGTTTACTGGCAACACGCTGAAAAAAGATATAAGTTTTTAACCAAGATCATTTACGTTTTAATTCTGAAGCTGTACTTGTGTCCATTTTTATACAACATAATCCACATAAGTCCATTTTAGATTCTTCAATAATTTGATATTTGAAGCAAGCATGTCATGACATGCAGTTTGTGCAGTGCAAATGCTAATTTGTGGTATATGGGCTTCAATTACTTCTTAGCTACATTAACCTTGTAGCTCCAATGCACAGCTAAAGAAAAAAACTTCAGACACCAAATATGCCTTTGCTAATGGCCTACATCTGCGGTAAGAGAAAGTTGAAATGTTGCCTAAACTGAAATTTTGTTAACTATCCATTTAAACGTAGCACAGCCAGGTTAATATGGTACCTGATTTTGGGTGAGGGCATCCTGCACTGCTTGGGCAGTAGGCTGTACCGGCCCAGGAGTTAATGCTAGGCCATCCAGCCAGCCCAGCAAAGCTTTGAGCCCCTCTTGAACGCTGACAGACTGAGCAACAGCAGTCTGGAGTTGCTCAGCCCGCTGAGAGACACGCTCTGACAGAGCTCCAAGCCGACTCTCAAGCGCATCTGAAATGGGTACCAAGAGAATTACAAAACATGAATATCATAATATTCATTTTTCAAAAGAAATAAAATTAAAACAAACAGGGCAGACATGTAGCTACCTGTGGTAGTGCTGATGTCTGTTGCTTTGAGAGTGGGAGACTCATGGGTACTGGTGAGCACTTTCCCTGCTTTCTTCACCTTCTCCAGCTGCATTGAGCGCTCCGCCAGCTCATCCTGTAGATGCTGATATTCGATAAAAAGGTTTAGAAACAGTCAGAACTTTTAATAAAATTAGAATTTTTTTTTCTATTGCCGCTCCCTGTACTCAGTTCAGGGAAAAATGTCCTTCATTTCATTTCAAAGAGCCACTCTCACCTTTACAGCATTCAGTGTATTCTGTAGTGTCTGTGTATCAGTCTTCTCTCCACTGGGTTTAAATATGCTCTGGTTTTGCTCCTGAGCATTCAACCATGAGTCCAGAGCACTAGCCTCATCCTGGTACTGTTGGTACCGATCCAGTAGAGTGGAGAGATGGGTACCAAGATTTACAGACTGCAACAAGAAGAAAGAGGGTCAAATAAATTAATGAATAATCTCATGAAGAGGCTGAAAAGAAAGTGTGGATAAAAAAAAATATTTAACTGACAACCTTTTTTGCCTACCTTGTTTTGCAGTGAACTGTAGCGATGTGTGGCATCTTGTAGCTTGTCGTTCACCAGCTGCCTTATGTCCTCCAGTGCTGGGTCAGTGCCACCCATCCTCTCTAAAGCCCCTTGAACAGAGTCCAGGACCTTCTGACCAGAGATGGACACGAAGCGCAAGTCTGCCTTATGGCAGATCACATCTTCTGCCAGCTAAAAACATTGCAAATCAAAGACTGTTAGAAACAAGTATTTTTTTACCAGAGGGGGGGGGGCAAAAAGTAGGTACAAAAAAGTACAGGGAATAGTGGTGTGATGAATCCACACTGATTTTATATGTTTATAATTCCATTTCACTTCTAGATGATTACCTTTTTGTGCTCTTCTAGTCTGCCTCTCAGAGCCTGCGCATCAGCTTCTCCCTGCCCCAAGGAAGAGAGACCCTGCTCACTCTGCTCCAGCCATGTCCCTAGGGTCCCATGCTCTTGGAGGAACTTGGTGAGGTCATCTCGGAGGGATTCTGTCCGCCTCAATTTTTCCTGGCAACTCTGGAGGCACTCCTGGTGTTGGCTCTGTAGCTGGTCTAGCCTGACACGCAGACGCTGCTTCTCCTCTAGGGGCACACTGGAGTCAGGCTGTTCCAGCAAACACCGTGTGGACTGGGCCACTTGTAGGAGGTGAGCCTGCTGGGTTTGTAAATGCTTCAGCTCAGCCTGGAACAATAAGCACAGTAAAAATATCAGACATCACATTAACACTGACTAAGATCTTTGGAAAAACTACACATATTTGTGACATGTTCTGTCACTTCTTTGGAAGTCACAATGACTTGTGTAGAAACCAGATTCTAGGTCAAAAACTTTTGTGGACTGTTCTGGGAGTCTTATTGGTTTTGCATCACACTCAGCTTTCATACTCTGTAAATAATATTGTGAAATTCAAACAAAAAATAGACTGCAAGCTCTCAAATCTAGGATATATCTTACAAATCTTAAAATCACATGCACATGCTACTTTTGAGAGAAAGCTGCTTCAAGTCAGTTGTGCATTATGTCTCTCTCTCTCTCTCTCTCTCTCTCTTTACCCCTCATCACTCTCCTCGTTTATTACAAGTTGAGGCAGAAACCCTTAAACCTTTTTAGCGTTCCTCTTTCAGCAGTGTATAAAACTCAAATTGTAGTAGGCTCAGAGTGACTCAAAATGATGGAACACATCACTACTTTAAGAGTTCATTTCTGACCTTCAGCATGTCACTGTGCAAATTCAGAGCGCCCTCTGGTGCGAAAGCAAAGGGACTATCTGGAACAGTTTCCCCAAGAGACTTCCTCTTGGACGTGTCCAATGATGACAACTCTTCAAGAAGCATGTCTATTTTTCCCTGAGTCTCCTGTAGCTCCTCCTCTGCTTTAGCCTTCCAAGGACGAGAAAGAACACAGAAATATACAGTTTTAGGTGGTGCTTAGAGAAGGAAATCAAACAATGACAGCCAAGGAAATATTATATGAGGTTATTACCTTCTGTGTGTTTTGCTGGAGTGTTGTGCTGATGGCTGTGTCCAGTTGTGCCAGTGAGGACTGGGCTGTTTCTGTGAGGGTGCTGTATTGCTCCTTTAAGCGTGATAGCGTCTGCTGCAAATTGGCCCGCTCTCCTTGGCTCAGATCATCACCATGTTCAGCCAGGACATCTTCCACTGACCGTATTGTCTCCATCACTACATCACCTTTGGCTTGAAGATCCTTCTGCACCTCCTAAAGGTATGTTTGGAATTGATGTTTTCAATAATATAAGTCCAATTTACTTGTAAATACATTTATAAAATTATTCTAACACATTAGAATTCAAATAATTAGTAAGAAGGTAGGAAACTGTAAAGATAATTATGAATGTTTAAATTATAAACATTTACAAAATGTAGTTGTGAAGCTGTAAATGATTCTAAAACGAATTGGTATGAATAAAGAAGTTAGAATAAAATTCAAAATGTCTTGTATTTCAAATGTGATGATTAAATCCTGAGGCACATAACTTGTCACAAAATTACTGTACACAGGTTATTACTAAGGGTGTAAAAATGCATCAAGGCATCAGGATGCACTGATCTGAAGGCACCAAAATAAGCTGAATCAATTAGAATGTAACAATTGAATATAATAATATTAAAAAAAGTCTGTGTTGGGGTTCTGGCAAAAACAAACGTCAACTAAAACCAGATCCCTCTTCTATTTTCAGTAACAGGTCTGTTCACTCACAGAGGACTGTGTAGCAAAGGTAAGCAGGCCTAGGGGCAGTACACGCCAGAGAAGCAGAGGCCAAAAGTTTGGCAGTCATTGCTAACATTAGCTCTTCAGCATCTAACAACTGTAGTTGTCTAGCATCCAGTCATGGCAGGCCTTAATCACAGAATTTGCTAGCCAAAATGTTTTCAAAAAACATTGGAGCAAAAATTCTAGAAAGTTTGATTTTATTAAAATGATGTGATGCCTAAGCAGTATTTTCTCTTTGTCTTATTACTGATTATGAGGAAACCAGCAAGCTGCATATTTAAATTGTATAAGGTATAATTTTATATAAAACAAACAACCAGATTAGTATTTCACCTTAAGCTCACTCTGTTTCTGCTGAAGCATGCCCACATCACCCGAATCGGCTCCTGTTCTCTGACTGGCCAGCAGACCAGCTGCACCAGCCAGCCACATGGTGAGGCCTTCAAGTTTCTGCGAGCATTCTTCCTTCTGCCGCTGCACCACCTAAATCCCCACATACAACAAATGAGAGAAAGCGAAAAAAAGTGGATAGAAAGGGAAGGAAATAGAGAAATGTCATCTTAGTTTTGGAAATATAAATGAAAATATGTTCTCTCCTCCCTACCACTGTCATGGCTTATTTTCAACCTCTTTTTCAACCAAAACTGACAGACTAAGCACACACCATTTTTTGACACAACACATATGTACTGTTTGAGCAAGATGTGTCCAGAGCATTTACACAAGCAGATAAAAATCCTGACAAAAAGGTCAGTCAAGCAGGAAAAAAAAGGTTTTAGATTAACACAAACATGTTTTGTCAGTCAGCTATTTTCCTTTTTCTTTAAAGCAATAAAGAAAAAGGAAAAAATAAGCTTTCTAATTATTAAAAAAGGCCATGTTTAAATCTCTAGCCTTTTCCAAGGTGGCATAAGCGCTTGTCCTCTGTGGCAATCTGTAAGAGCAAGGCAGACAGTTAATACACATGTTATATCCACACACATGCATCAAGCAAAACAGACTTTAGCAGTTGGCTGAGTAAGCTGTAAAACAGATGTCCAATCTTATCCGCAAAACGCCAGTGTGGCTGCAGGTTTTCACTCAAAATGAGCTGGAGCTCAGGTGGAGCACACCTGATTCCACTTGTTTACTCTGGTTTCAGTCTTCAAACTGCTGTTCATGTGGACTCCTGCTTTCCTGGAATGAAAACCTGCAATCACACTGGCCCTTTGTGGATAAGACTGGACACACTTGCTGTAGAACAAGCTGTAGAAGCACTATGGAGATAAGCAATACTAGCACTGCAAAACTGATAGAATGAAATAAAATGGCTTCTTTGATTGAGTTAAAAACAGCAATTTTGTGCATGTGACAAGGATCATTAACATATACTTAATCACTAATTTTTACTGCAAATTGTTATAACCTGTTGACAAGTTACTATAATTTTAACCTATATCAGATTTAATTAACAGATTATATCTCTGTGAAGCAGTTACTGCCAGTGAATCAATGAGCAAAGCAAAACTGCATACTGCTGTTATTATTGTATTAGGCATGAACACTGAACCAGCATTTGCAAACCTCTTTCTTCATAGCAGTCTGTTTCTCTTTCTCCCTCTCTCTTTCCTCCTGTTCTCTCTCTTTCTGTTCACGCTCCTCCTCTCTGGCTTGCTGGACTGAAAGGGCTTCGGCCCTGGCATGAGCGCGGCCTGTGGCCTGGTGAAAGGCCCTCTGCAGCTGCTGCAGCTTCCTCAACAGATGTCTGCTCTGCTCTGGTTCTAGATCCTGTGCACGCTCTGAGATAAACACCTGGATGTCAAATGCCACAGTGCTCACATCACTGGAGCGTGCTGTGAGATGCTCTTCTAACTCCTGGAAGTGAAAAACACATGATAAAAACTTACACAAAAAGAGTCCATCATTAAAATGCAAACCACGTTGCAAATGGAGCCCCGTAAGTGTATTTTACCTTGCATTGCTGCAGTCTTTGAGCAAGTTGCACTAATGTCCTGCTCTCGTTCTCTCTCATCTTTTCTTCCTTTGTATGTTGCTCCATCTGAGCTTCAGTCTGCTTAAGCCAGGCAAGAAGATTGTCCACTTGGCCACCCAAAGATTGCAGTTCACTACTCACGGCCACCTGAGACAAAGCAGATAATTTTCAGATGTTGACACACTGTAATCGGTGAGTTTTTTTGTGAGTGTACTTTAAAGGAGACATCGTAAACAAAACCATTTTCCTGCCAGCTCACATATACATTACTTAATGTATCTGCCATCTGAGATATTGTGAAATGTGAAGTGACTACTGCTATAGTGTATTTCCTTTTTGGGGAAAACATGTTTTTACAAAGCCAGCACAGCTAGACATGCAAACAGCTTCCCTCCAGAGCTGTAGCACTTATTAACTGCAGTAGGCACCTTGCATTTTAAACTTAAACTAAACAGAACCTAAAACTCCCTAAATGCATATTGAATAACTCCTCTGTACCATAATGTTGTACAATGTTCATTTTTACAAATGCTCATGTCATTCTGCAACATACTGTAGATCATCAGACCCTGCACATGCATACACATTCAGATATTCATGTCTTTTAGCTCTGTTCACTCTGGCTCATTTGTATCTACTGTTCTTTATTCTATTTTTATTTTATTTGTTGCTTAGTTGAATGTCATATTGCTGGACAGTGTAGCGGGCCAGACTAGAAGAGGCAGTTTCGCTCACTCGTTGACGACTTTGTTGGAATGCACATGCTCGAGGATTGCAACTAGCCCTCGGTAGGTGATGGTAACGCTCCTTAAGTTAGCCTGCCAACCGCCATTCGTCCAACAGAAGAAGACCTGGGCACCAGCTTCTCATGCTACACAGGGTTAGGTAACCTAAGCTTAAGGCTGTTGCGTTTCATGTAGATGTGTGCCCTTGCTTGAAATATTACACTGTGGGTTGCTGCTGCTGAGAGCTGATAAAGTTTGGCACGAGCTGAGGGAGCTCTAGTGGCTCCCTGTCAGCCCATTTTTGAGCATGTTAAATTGGCATTAGCAGAGCGCTAGCTACAGAAAACAAAACCAAAAAAACAAAAATAAATAAATAAAAAAAAAAAGCATAGTGTTGCCAAATTTAAGTACAGAGTAGCAGAATTGTATCACAAGGGACAGACATTGGTTATTCTAACATTCAAATTTGTAAATGCAAAGTACTTGAATATCAACAAGAAATTTCTTTTTTTAACTTCTTATCTAAAACAGCATACGAAGAGTTAAACTAAGCGGTGCAGAAGTGAACAGGACGCATAGCTCAATTGTAAGCTATTTAGGTGAACTTTTAACAAATTGTAGTCAATACTGCAATCCCTGTTTAATTGGTAACTTACGTAGTCTTTTTTCCCCCCACCCAGTGGCCAGCTAGCAGTGTTTCACTTCACTTTCTTGCACTGGATTTAGCTTTTGAGATGGTGAAATGCCTTTTAAGTGCTGTGAGATTGGCTGATTAACATTGATAGATTTGTTTGGGGTTTAGAAAGTAACATGGATGTTTAGCATTTTACACGTCATAGTTTTGCACACTCACCAAGACAAATTCCTTGTTTATGTAACATACACTATATGGCCAAAAGTATGTTGGCACCCCTCCAAATTATTAAGGTGTTTCAGCCACAGCCTTTGCTAACACGTGGATAAAATCAAACATATAGCCTTGCAATCTCCATAGACAAAGATCGGCATCAGAGTGGGTAATACTAGAGAACTCAGTAACTTTAAATCTTGCACTGTTATACAAGCTTAATTCCAAAAAAGTTGGTACAGTGTGTGAAATGCTAATAAAAACAAAATATTTGATGTTTTACCTTTTGAACATCATTGTTTTTTGTAAATGCATGCTTCTTCCAAATTTTATGCCTGCAACATGTTTCAAAAAAGTTGGGATGGGAGCATGTTTACTACTGGATAATATAACTTTTCCTTTTAACAGCACATAATCGTTTGGAGACTGGAAGACACACTGATGTAGTTTTGAAAGTGGAATTCTTTGCCATTCGTCTGTTATACAATTGTTCTGCTGTGCAACCGTATGGGGCCTCTGTTGTCATATTTTAAGCTTAATAAGACTGAGAGACAGGCAGTCAGTCTAGCACGTGCACTCTGATTATGCAGCCATGCTATTGTGAAATACAGAATGTGGCTTGGTTTTGTCATGCTGATCTAAGCATGGCTGTCTCTGAAAAAAAATGTCGTCTAGAAGGCAGCTTATGTCGTATGTATTTGTTCATCGTTAATGGTGCTTTCACAGACCAGCCAACACCCCTGCATACCATGACAGATGCTGGATTTTGAACTTTACACTAGTAACAATCTGAATGTCCTTTACTCTTTGTGTTGGAGAACACATCAATTACTTCTATAAATAATCTGTAAGGTTGACTCGTCAGAACACAATACACATTTCCATTGTGCATCAGTGCATTTCAGATGTGCTCAAGCCCAGAGAAGCTGGTGGCATTTATGGACATTGTTGACATATGACTTTCACCAAGCATAGTGCAGTCTTAACTTGCATTTGAGCATGCAGCATTGAACAGTGTTTATTGACAAAAGTTTTTTAACATTTCCAAGTCCACAAGATGATATTCATCATAAAAAACAGGCCAGTTATTTTACGCAGTGCCGTCTGAGGGGACAAAGGTCATGGGCATCCAGTTATGGTTTTCGGCCTTGTCCTTCACGCACAAAGATTTTGTCAGATTCCCTGAATTTTTTGAGGATTGTTATGTACCATAGTGTCAAACACCTATTCCTGCATTTGCTTGTTAAAGAACACTGTTTTTTAAGCTGCTAGATTTTTACTGATGCATTTTGAGCAAAATGGCGAGCCTCGACTCACACTGTTCATCAGGCTCCTGTCCCAACTTTTTTGGAATGTTATAGGAGAATAAGCGAATATTTAAAAAAAAAATCATTAAAAATATTAAATATCTTGACGTTATACTGTTTTGGCTCAAATACAGATCAAAGTATATTAATAAATCACTGCTTTCTGTTTTTATTTGCATTTTTGTAGTAGTGCCTATACTCTGTTGCATCACTCACTATAGAGTTTCAAACTACCTCTAGAAGCAACACTAGCAAAATAACTGTGCGTCAGGAGCTTAATGAAATGGTTTTCCATGGCTGAGCAGCTGTACACAAGCCTAAGATCAAAAAGCACAATGCCACGTATCAGCGAGTGATAAATCACGCTTCACTTTCTCGCACAGGGAACCATGTTATATTGAAAAAAAAAGTCTCTTAACTCTTAAGGGAATATTTTCTCTTACTTTATGTGCATCACGGTGTGATTTCATTCCCTGCAGAACACTCTGGGAAAGTTCTCGTGCAGCATAAAATGCACGAGACAAACTGCGGCCATCCTTTTCCAGGGCCATGAGCAACTGGGGTGGGACATCTTCAAGGTGGGACCCCAGAAGCTGTCTAGATGCTTCAAGCTCCTTGTTTACTTGTGGCTCCAAATCACAAAGCTCCAGAGCTAGAGTCTGGTTTTGGAGAAAGAATAAGAACATATTAATTCACTGATGTACACATTAATACAATATGATTTAATGTTACTGACAGCGCCCACCTCTGTTTGTTTAATGACGTCATCAAGTGCGATAAGACTCCGGCCTATGGACTGTTGCTGCTGCTGTTTAAGACATACCTCGGTGTGTCTCACCATAGAGAGGAGTGCCAGAATTTTCTGGTCATGCTCTAGGCACTCTTGGCGGGCCAAAGAGGACTGAGGAGGACAAATATAAATTATTTAGAACAAGAATATCCAATCTAAGCTGACTGAGTAATTATGCTTATGACTGATGGGAAACTAAAACAGAACATAATGAACAGAGAATTTGTACACTTAATTGCTTACCTTGCTTATCTGTGGGGTGGTACCCTGTTTTTTCTTAGGATCATCAACCTGTTTTTTATCTACACTTTCATATTCTTCTTCTTCCTCTTCTTCTTGCTCTGTTACATCTGACTCTGGGATGTCTTCTGACTGTGACAGCCCTGACTCTGTGGACTCTTGTAGGGAAGCTTCATCTTTAGCCTCACTGTCCACATAGGGGTAATCCTTAACTATGTCTTGCAGAAGCTCAGTGCTGATTGCGTTTGCTTCTGTTTTAGAGGTTTGTATATCAACGTCACTCTGTGGTAAAGCAGGAGAATCCTTATCTAATTTGATGGGAGGCACAGACTTGCCCTCAGAAAGTGTGGTATATGACTGCTCATTGACTTCCAGTGTTATTAACCTCGGCTTCTCAGCTTCATTCTTGGTAAATTCAATTGGTAGTACAGCAGCAGGTTCCTTAGCAAATGTGACTGGAGGCACAGATTCTGTGAAATCTGATTTAGTATTTTCATAGCCCTCATCAAGAGCAGGGCATAGGTGCTCACTTACTTCAGATGTTTTTATTGCTAGCTTTTCACTTCTTCTCCAAAGTGACTCATGTTTAGCCTCTTCTGTTGTTCTCTCTCCAACTTTCTCATCTAAATCAATGTGAGTTAGTCTTTGCTTACTTGTGTCCATAGCAACAACATGAGAGGTTTCTTTAGTGCTTAGGTCTTGCTTTTTGGAAAAGTCTGATGCAGGCTGAGTCACAGGTACAGAAGATCTCAGATGGGAGATGTCAGGGGCTGTTTGACTGAAATAATTTTGTTTAGAGTTAGTCCCAGGTAAAACATCACTTGCCACTAACTTTTCATTCACATTTACTTGCAGTTTCTGATGTGTTCCATCCTTTTCCCTTGTGGGAAATGTTGAACTATCCTGCCCTTTGTTGGGTTTCTGACAAGTGGCCACATGACGTTCTTTACCAGACCCTTGACGCAATGCTTCTAATTCTTCAGCAGCCTGTTTCTCAGTGACTCCCCGCTCAAAGACTTTCTTAAGAATGCTTTGCTTGGCCTTCATCAGAAGTGCCTCCTTCTCCAGCTGTGCTTGGTTAAGTTTTTGAGGCTGTTCCATCTGTTCTGTTTCTACTACATCTAGTTTCTCACTTTGAGTTGTGACAACATCAGTGTTTTCCTCTGCTTCCTTTTCAGCATTTGCCATAGACTGCAACATTTGCTTGGGCTTTTTATTCTTCTTTTTCTTTTTCCTCTTCTTATCTGTTTGCTCTGGAACATGAACTTCAGAAACATCCACTTCTTTATCATACTCTGGTCTTGTCTCATTTATGACTTGGTGTTGCATTTTGCTGAGTAGTTCGTGATCTAGGTTGCTGTGGTCATCCTGCAGACTTGCAGGTTCTTCCTTTGCCATCTCTGCTCCAAGACTCGTTTTTCCATCTTTAGTCGGTTGCTTCTGGAGACTCACAACTACGTCCTCCATAACATCTCTCTGCTGCAGACCCCCAGGGAAAGCTTCAATACTATAACTTATTTCAGGAGCTCCTGTCAACTCTACTTTGACTACTTTCTCCATTTTCTCATTTCTTTCAATAGATGTCTGTTCACTGTCTAAAACATATTTACCAGTTTCATACTCTGCTCCCACTACAGACAAAGCATCTCTCTGATCTGGTCTACTCTCTAATTGTACTTCAGCCGCTCTCTCTACTTTCAAATCTTCAGTATATTTTTCATCAGTGACTACAGCCTTTTTCCCTGTCTTCTCAGTGCCCTCTACAGATGGAACTATGCTCATATCTGGAACCAGCAGAACCTCCAAATCTAATTTGTCCTTTTTCTCTAATTTTACATCAGATTCCTGATCAAAAGCTTCTTTTTCAGACTTGTTCTCAATGCCCACTACAAGGGAAGTCATGCTCGAATCTAGATCTACTTTGACTTCTCTCTCTCTCACATCTTCAACAGATTTTTCATCAGTGACTGCAACTTTCTTCCCTGCCTTCTCAGTGCCCTCTACAGATGGAACAACACTGATATCTGGAACCAGCAGAACCTCCAAATCTAATTTGTCCTTTTTCTTTAATTTTACATCAGATTCCTGATCAACAGTTTCTTTTCCAGACTTGTTCTCAATGCCCACTACAAGGGAAGTCATGCTCCAATCTGGAGGCTTTTGACCCACTAGATCTACTTTGACCTCTCTCTCTCTCACATCTTCAACAGACCTTTCATCAGTGACTTCAATTTTCTTTCCAGTCTTCCCAGTGCCCTCTACAAGTGGAACTATACTCATACCTGGAACCAGTAGAACCTCAGAATCTAATTTGTCCTTTTTCTCTAATTTCACTTCAGATTCCTGATCAACAGCTTCTTTTCCAGACTTGCATTCAACGTTCTCTACGAGGGAAGTCGTGCTCAAATCTGGAGGCTGTAGAACAACCAAATCTACTTTGACATCAATAGATTTTTCATCAAGAACTCCAATTTTATTTCTCATCCTATTGTCAGTGCCCTCTACTGGTGGAACTAAATTCATATCTTGAGGCCTCAGAACCTTCCAATGTAATTTGTCCTCTTGCTCTAATTTCCCATATTCTTCAGTTTTTTGGTCAGTGCCAGCAGCTTCTTTTTGAGACTTATTCTCAGTGCTCTCTATAGGTGAAGTCACACTCAAATCTGGAGGCTGTTGAACCTTCAGATATTCTTTAATATCATCCTTTCCATCAGCTGATATTTTATCAATGCCAAGAACTTCATTTCCAGTCTTGTTCTCAGTGTCCTTCACAACTGAGGCCACACTCACATCTTGAGATGTCAGACCCTCCAACCGTACTTCAACCTTTTTCTCTTTCATGTCTTCCACAGGTTTTTGATCAAAGCCTGCCATTACTCTTACGCTCTTGTTCTCAGTGTCCTCTGGAGGTGTTACAACACTCAATTCTCCAACCTCCAGATCTGCTTGGACCTCTTCATGATCAATATCTGGAACATCTTTTAAGATTTCATTCTCCACATCCACAAGTGATAAATTCACTTTTGCACTTTTTCCATCTTCCAACTCTGCCATTCCCTCTTTCTGTAGATTTGCACCTTCTTTAAAAGATTCTTCATGAATGTCCAAAAATTCTTTTCCGTTCTTCATCTCCGTACCCTCTGAAAGCGATGTCGCATTCATATCCAGAGACTTAACCTCCAAACTTTCATCTCTTTCTGTACCTTTTCTGGCTTGCTTCATATATTTCCCGTCTCCTCTCTTTTTCTCTTGTATCTTCTGTCCCTCTTCTGTTGTAAATAAAGCTATGTTCTTTCTATTTTCAACATTCTGTTTACTTTCACAAATTGCCTTTGCATATGAAAAAGACTGTTGTTCTGCAGCCTTAGAAAACTGTCCATTTGTTTCCTCTAAATATGGGGCTTGTCCATCATGTATTGTATGCGTGGTGTCTGGGGCAACCCTGTAGCTACTTTTCTCATAGTTTTCCAGCTTTGTGCGTGTTTTAGTGGGTGCTAGTTCAACTTCTGGCAGCATTTGGCTGTCTGACTCTGGGGTATGGTCAGGTGTGGGTGTGGTGTCATATTTCTTCCCAATTTCAAATTCTGTCTCAGACAACTGTGGAATCTGAACTTGACTTAGCTGATGCTGCAGTTCTTTATGTATTTCAGGGCCAAAGTCTTCAATGGCCTGCTGCAACCTTTTTTCTGTTTTTAGGGCAAAATGAGTCAGTACTTCCAATGATGCATCAGTGTTTATCTCCAAATCACTTGATGAAATAACCTTATGCGTTTGTTCCTCCATTTCAGATGGCGCATAGTGCTGAAGAAGCAGTGTTTTCTCAGGCTGAGGCGCCTCCAGAACCTCTGTAATCATACAGTGAGCCTTCTCTGATTCTGAAAGATGTGCTGCGCTCACTTCTGTGCTTTCATGTTGGCTGTTTGAAGGGCTGGCTTGATTTGACACAAGAGGACTACACATTCTACTTGTTGAGGGACCCACTGTCTTAGTGCCTTCCTCCTTATAATTTGGTTCATCCACAGGGCCAAAATTATCCTGAAGTTCCGCAGCCATTTCTCTAGAGATGAGCCCTTCCTGCACAGCCTTCTTAAGATCTGACACCCTGTGACCACTGCTAGGGTTAATCAATCCACCTTTCACTATCTGGTTTGTAGCAATAACCCTGGCAATATCGTTTTCAATGAGGCCTTTGTCAACAGCCTCTGGAATGGTTAGCCTCTTGCCATTTGAAATATTGATTATTCCCCCAGAATCTGCCTGGCTTTGCAATACTCTGAGTGCTGGAACAGGATCAACTTGACCAGTCTTTACTGCTTCTGGCAAAGTCATCATGCCACCATTTTGTTTGTGTGGAACACCTCTGAAGGGCCTAACTTCAAGGAATCGCCGACCTGTCTCAATGTCAATCTTTCCCTGGTTAATAAGCTCTGAGTAAGGTACAATACAAGCACTGTGAGGGTCCAAAACACCACTTCTTACATTGGGAGAGGCCATAGCTTTGTTTGCAGTGTCTTCATCAATGAAACCATGTGAAACAGCTTCAGTCAACGTAAGTCTACTTTTTGAAACTGCATCACAAATGAAGCCTACAGATGCCTGAACAGAAACACTGTTTGGATCTGAACTAAATTGTTCCTGCCTCTGACAAGACTTCTCAAAGTCTTCCAGCTTTTGGACAAATGATTTGTCAATAAGGCCTTGTTGTACTGAATCAGCAACAGTGAGACGAACGCCAGAGCCATGATGCACAATTCCACCTTGAGCCACCTGCTGCATTAGGATCTGCTGGGCTTCTTTGTGACCAATGATGCCTTTTTGAATGGCTTGTTGAAGAGGCAGAGGCTGTTTTGTTTTGGGATCCACCACACCATCCATCTGTAGCTGTAGTGTTAATTTTGTATGTGACGCATATGGATCAGAACTTTTTCCGTGGCATGACTTTTCCACTGCAAGCAGATCTTCCTTTTGGGCCTCTTCTATTAGCCCAAGATTTGCTGCAAGGGTAACAGAAACTTTCTCACCCCTACGAAGGTCAACAATTCCCCCAGAAACAACCTGAGCCTCCAGGAGCCGAGCTACTGTGTCTGGGTCCAAAAGTCCTGTCTGAGCAGCATCCTTTAATGAGTATATCTGACCATGTTTGACATCAATCACACCAGCCAAAGTCTTTTCTGACTGAAGAACACGGGTCATTAAGTCTTCATCTAGCAAGCCTTCTTGCATTACATCCTCAATGCTCAGTGACTTACAAGCACTCACATCCAGGAAACCACCAAACAGCCCTGCCCTCGACATTACTTTGACAGCAGTGTGACCTGGGAGCAGACCCTGGGATACAGCCTTATCCAGAAGCAACTTCTGGGCTCCATCAGTTAAAAGACCACTTTGCAAGAACTGCTTTGCCATGTCCTCAAGCTCTGCATCTTCATCACTTAGTTCCATGGATATGGTCTTTGGAATTTTTGAAGAGTCAGTTGTCTCTGTATTTCTGTTTGTGTCCATTTGATCTGAGATATCTGTGACTTCAATTTTCTTGACTTGTAGACCTTCGCTGGCAATACTCAGTACGTTAGTCTTGTCTAATCTGTCATTCTTGTTCGCTTGACCATCCTGGCTTTCTTCTGCAGCATCTTCAAATGAAATATCAGCAGCAGTGTTTTCTGTCCTTATGCCTAACCGTTTATTCTTAGATGGTGCAGTTTCTACTTTTTCCTCAAGCAAGCACTGATTTAATTTAGGCATCTCAACGCTGAGAGGCCCTGGGTCAGTTAGGCCCAGTACTGTTTCTTCCCTCTTTATTTCTTTTACCTCTGTAGTAAACAAGTCCAAAACAGAATCTGTTGGTAAAATGCTCACCTGCTTTATAAATGGAGGTAGTGTCTGGATTTCAGGTATTGTCTCTGCTAATTCTAAGCCGTTATCTGAGTGCTTTACCAAGTTTCTGTCAGTGCTGCTTTTTTCTTCATAAGCTGCATCTTCTTTTAGGGGACTTTTTACTTTTTTAGTTTCACAAACAGCATTATCAGTAACATCTCTTTCATGTTCCTCTGTAAGATTTCTTTGCTCTGTTTCAATGAATGGCACACTAAAATCAGGCTCTCCCGACTGCGGTTCAGGTCTGCTCTGGTCTTTCGTTGGTTGACAAATAAGCTCTATCAGTTCAGGCTCCAACAGGACTAGACGCTCTCCTGAACAGGCACTAATGTAGCTGTGCGTCATCAAGTAAGAGAGGAGGCGATAGTTGACCTGCTCCTCTGATCCAACTCCCTCTAAAAAGGAAGTGACATCATGAAGTTGTGGGGGTGAGAAAGCAGGTGAAGAGAGTGATGGTGATGAAGAAGAGCCCAAGCGATTAACATTTAAAGAACCTGTCTGAATCATGGCAGGCAGAGCATCTGGTACCCTTGTCTTTTCAAGGACCTCCACGACTTCTGTTCCAAGTATCTTCTCAGCACAGGCCAGAGGAACCACTTGACCACTTTCTGGACAGTAAACTGCACCAACAAAATGACGTTTGCTTAGGACTTTCCAGGCAAGCTCCCCTGAAACAACACCTTGCTGCAGAGCATCGGAGATCGAAAGTAGTTCCCCTGACTCTGGCCATATCATGCCCATAAAAGTCCACAGAGATTCCAGCACCCGTAGGGCCATCCGTGGAGATAAAAGCTCCCTTTGGATAGCTTCATTTAATTCCAGGCGTTCTCCACTGGCTGGGTCTATTATCCCTCCTGCCTGTAACTGGTGAGTCAATAAGGCACAGGCCAGGTCCTGATCCATAAGGCCAAGTCGCACAGCCTCATCTACTGTTAGCCGATGCCCTGAGCGAGGATCAGTGATGCCTCCTGCAAACAGCTGAGCCTCCAGAAGTCGAATAGTGACTTGCTGGTCAATGAGTCCCTCTTGGACCGCACGGAAAACGCTTACCTTTCTGCCTGATCGTAAACAGACCGTTCCCCTTGACTGCTGATTGACTGGCAGCAGACGCAATCCGGTCTCCTGATTCAAAAAACATCGTTGATGGAACTCAGACAGATTTAGCTTTTCAGCTGTATTCGGATCAATGAGCTCCCTGCGATCAAGGCGGGAACGTAACTTATTGTAAACAGCAACTGAGAGAAAGCCTTTCTGCATAGCATTTTCAAGATTGAGAGTTTCATTACTTGAAACATCTTGGAGTCCTCCTGTGTTCAACTGCAGCTCCAGAATACGAAGTGCAACTTGCTCTTTTATGTGACCCATCTCCACAGCAGCAGCAACTGGTATAAACTGACTCTTTGAAAGTTGGAACTGCTGGACAAGATGAAGGGCAGTCTCTAGTTCTAATAGTGACTGGTAGGTACAGTTGTCAATTAGACCAGTGGCAAGACTCTCTTCTAATGAGAGGCTCTGAGGGGAGTCAGGTTGTAACAGACCACCCATGACAAGCTGTGCCTCCAACAGCACACGGCATGTGTCCTGGTCTATAAGGCCACGACGTGCTGACTGGAAAACTGGAAAGGTCTCCATAGTTTCAAGATCAATTACTCCAGCGATGGTCTTGTGATCCTAAAAAAGAAATACACTGTGTAAATGTATTTACAAAATTTTTTGGTTTGGCTAAATAGTTTTTTTCTTTACTTAAATTTAGGTCAGTAAGGAACATTATAGAAAATACCCACAACCCAAGCATGCAAACCTATCATAAGGTGGTCATGTGCAGTACCAGATAAATGTATTAAATCTATGATCCTATGATTCCAACCTTAGTCACAACCCATTTTTGACAAACCAAATAAACCAAAATAACATGATCCTACAAAATTAATTAAACAGTTAAACATTAAATGTAAGAAAACATGTTTTAAAAGCAACAAAGCAAGAAGCATTTGCATGCACAAACTTGGAAAATGCAGAAATATGCTCAGCTATGAACACTCTAAGAACAGCAAAAGTGCCTTAGAATAAAGGGTAGGTCAGAAACGAAGCAACGGTAAGAGAGAAAGCGAGCACTACTTACCGTGTGGGGTGGGTCCTTAGACGCACACACACAGATAGGCCGACGGCTCGGCAGATTGAGGTGCAACAGGGTGAGAAGCTGGATGTTAGCATTCTGCATGCCACACTCCATCTGCCTGAGATACTGCCCGGGACTGACTGGCCCCTAACTGTTTGACGTTCCTTTCAGTTTGTTTTCTTAACATTCCTATAAGACTTATATCCAAGGCTTGACTCATGATATGGTTTGTATTATATCGCTAGGATTTCATTTGTATCTCCACTTTTCTGTTCTTTTAGTTTAGTTAAAATGTGCTTTTAGACTTACCTATTAGCAAACAGTAACTCTTAATGAGTCTACTGACATAACTTTTCCAAACCAAAAATTCAATATCTATTTTAAATTACTGACTAAACTTCATTTTGAAACCTTTTTTAATTTCAAAAGTGATCTTTCCCGGCAGCTGTTAGTGATTTTAAAGCAAAATGCTGATTAATTTCACACAGTATTACTGTTTTAAAGACAAAGACCAGAAACAGACAATATCACACACACACACACACACACGCAAATGCGTGTACATAGCAATGACCTGGACACATCATGCTCAAACACATGTGGGTATGCATAGCTGCCCTCCGGTGCTCAATCTACATCAGTCTCCATGACATACATTTACTGCTATCTTTAGTAGTAATATTTTTAAACCTTGTTTCTAGTCACAAAGAAGACTATTACCGCACTTGCTTATACATACACACAAATATCACTGCTTATATGCATAATACTGACTGTTGATGACTACACGCAATATATATATATATATATATATATATATATATATATATATAAAACAATGGTTGAGTCTCGTGGGTCCAGATGTGATCTATTAACAAGAATGTCTGGGTCTAGTAACAAGAAGTTCTGGCGTAAATGTGTGGGTGGGAATGTAAACTTCTTAGGGTGGGAAAAAAGACAAGAGTGACATTTCTGAGGAGATGATGTTGTTCTTGTCAACATGTATGTAACAAACTGCAAAATGCCCCCAAAGAAATCCAAATTTTGCATGTAGATGAGTGTTGAGTATGCAGAGAACACATTACATGTGTTAAAAAAAAAAAAAACATTACCTCTTGCAAGGGACAAACAGTTCCATTAAACCAGACTACAGTTTAGCTTTACAAGATATCCGATACTGGAGTTTCTGTCTTCTAGCAAAGTATTTGAAGTGGTTTCATGGAATCAGTTTTGTTCATTAAGCACACTTCTTGCAAAACAAAATCGAACAGCGCTCCGGAAACATTCACATTCACATCACAAACATGAACATTAGCTAATAATAGTGGTTCGCTATGCTATCTTATTTTGCTTGTGTTGTTTGTACTCCTGATCTTAAAGGAGCATGGGCATGGGGGGCAGGGGTGGTTGTACATGGGTTGTAACCCTATTAGCACCAGATTATGCAATCCAGCACCAAAAGTTTAATAAATTGTCCCCAGATGTGCATTCTCATTATAAGATCACGTCTAGCCTCGCCAGATTACGTGTGGTTATGTATTTCAGTGACACAATGTACATGTTTACCTATAACTGCCAGTGAAATAAATAAAATGTACAAATCAGAGATGCAAAAACCATAAATAATAGGTAAGGGCTTAAAATGGACTCTACATAAACATTATGAGTATGAACTCTGATTGTATATACTGAACCACTGTAATGATATGGTCTGTATATCAACTCAGTGTAATGATGCAAATGCTCTGACAATTAGCTCTGAATTGCTACTTCTTTTAATATACAGGGCCAGTAAGTAGCAATAAGCAGATGTGTCTGATGAAGATGGCAAATGGTGATGATGGTGGTGACATGATCACAGGCATGCTGTGAACAGTAGGTGAGGAATTCATTCCATGCTATTACAAAATTATGTTATGTCAAACCAAATCTGTGAGACATATGGAGGTGATATGGATGTCAAAAACGTGACAAGCAACAAATAACATGCGGTACCGACTCTATCTCTCTCTCATTCACACACACACACACACACACACACACACACACACTATTCTGTAAAAATTCCCTAGACTGAAACCTTTACATAAGACAACCACTTAAAGCAACACATACCAGGAGCATTGTTTTGCAAGCTTTTTGCGTTTTGAAGCTTGTTTTGGCAACTTTAGCTTAAACCTCTAACTCTACCTTTCGCTTTTCCTCTTTGGCCAGTTGTTCCTCTAGCTGTTGTAGCTGAGCAGCAGAACTGTCACATAGTTGTTTGTAGGTAGCAGTCAGTTCATCCAGCTGTGATGTCACTTGGGCACGCTCTTCAGCGGACAATCTAAGGAGACATGAGCCATGACAATATCAAATGTGTGCATGTGGATATTTTGCTTGGTTGTCTTGATGTATATTTGGAGGGGAAAAAAAAAAAACAAAACAAAACATACATGTAAAAGGTTTATGTATGGTATGTCAGTGCCTGTCAGTGTATCACACTCACTTGCTGGCCTGTTTTGATAGAAGGAAGACCTGTGTGCTCCTGATAGCTTCTGCGATTTCTTCTTTTTTAGAAGCTAACTGCTCATTTATTGCCTGAAGAAAGAGACAAATAAAGCATAAATCATAAGAATCAGTGTTACCAAATCTATCCTCATCTTGTACTGATACTCAGCTGTGCCAATGCTTGGAAGTTTAAAAATGTATGGGCAAAATCTGTGTGCAAATACTTAATGCTAATATTTCATGCTAGAGTTGGCACAACCCATACCTGCTGTGCAGCAAGTGATGACTCAGCTGGTCTTGCAGCTCTCTCCTGGAGACCCTTAACCCAGCCTAGAAGCTCAGAGACTTCTCCCACCCGGGCCTGTCTCTCCTCCTCAACCTGTTTCTGTAAGAGATTAACAAGCTTTTAATTATAGCATTTATTCTGACAGAAGTGTGAAAAATCACGAATCTAAAAAGTATAAAATCTAAATTCCAAGACTGGACAACTTTAAACCTTACCTCTTCTTCTTCAAGTCTCCGCAGTGCATCACTGATATACTTGACATGTTGAGTAGTCAAAGTCACCAGAGCTGTGTAACGTGTGCGCAGATCCATGAACTAGAAGAGCAAAAAGACTCAGCATTACAATAGGCCAGTTCAAACCACTAAGAGAATCAATCCTAAGAGAAATTGATAGTGCCCACCACCTCCCAAAATCATTCTGTCCTCACTTACTTCTTGTGTTATGGCGTCAGATGAAGAATGCATCCTCCGTCGTTTCACAGGAGACTTCTGGGTTGATTCCACAAAAGCTCTAAAGGTCATGAGCTGCAGTTCATAGTCCTAATGAACAAACACAGAGACACACAAACAACATTTGAGAACAGTTCCTTACATGGGGACATACTTCAGGAGAAATCTGTTCCCTGAGGCCTGCCAAAATAGTGCAGTCGACAGTAGCTTTGTCAAGTCCATTCTAAAGGGTGCTTACTTTGACAGCAGTGCAGTAGTGTTTAGAGTGGGTCTGGCATTCATCCAGTTTGACTTGGTTCTGCTCAATCTCAGCCACCAAAGCCTGCCGAGAAACAGTTCACGGTGAAGTCAGTTTTAATTAAATATACTCTGTCTTTATTTAGGTTATTATGTCTTACTATGTCTGTCCTCCTGTGATCTACTGTCTCGACAATTTGCTTGTACGTGTACTTTACTTCACCAAAAAAAACAATTCTAATTGTGAAATAACCTGTGACCCACCGTTTGCTGGGAAAGCTGCTCAGACAATGCTTTGCTGTCTGTCTGCTCAGGTTGGGTGTTTTCCTGCTTCGCGGTGGTCTCTTCAATCCAACAGATCAGGGCAGAATGACCCTCTCTGTATTGCTGCAGCACTGATCCTAGCATCTCCAGATCAGATAGCCTTTAGGACACACACACACACACACACACACACACACACACACAAAATGGTTGTTTCTGGCCAAATGCATACATTGATAGCTAACCTTAATAACATTTTTCTTATTGCTCTGCCTGGTTTTATTTGATTTCATTTTTAATAAGTTAGTAAGTTTAAATTCTTTTTCTTTGCATGTTAGTGTTTTATAAATATTAAAATATGCTACAAAACATCAATTTATATTGCATCCTTTAACTACGTGTTTACTTGTTTTAAAATTGCACACATAATTACATCAGTTTTAACTGTCAACAACGTTTGCACCTATACATTACACCCTTAAGCCACTGTCTCAGTCTGGCTCTTTCGTCTTTTAACTGTTCTCCTGCCAAATTGCTTACCGTGTTTCCATTTGTCTGCGCACTCCATTCCACCTCTCTGTGAGTTGGTGGGCTTTCTCTTGGTAGCGGTCAAGCTCGGGGCTACGATCAGAATGCAGCTGGCTGAGCTGGGTGCCTGCCTCCCGTGCCCGCTGCATCTCCAAACTCAAAGACTGGAAGATGTGATCCTGCTCTTCAAGCTCTAAATGCCATTTCTGCAAAACAGGTAGACAGACAAAGAAGAAAAGGGAGGTGGTCATAATATGGATATAGAATTAATGGATAAGTGTCTTTATATGTTGAAATGATTCACCTTGAGCTGTTCTCTCAAGGCCTGGATGGCAGCGGTATCAGCAGGAACAATGTCCTCCTCACTCAGCCGACCCTCATACTTCTTCACCTGAGACTCGGCCACTTGTAAGCTTCTCATCAACACGTCTACTGTTTTTAACCTGACAGAAGGGTGCATCAGTCAAGTCAGTCTGAGTTAATGAAATGAGAGGAAGCATGTCTAAAAGAAAGTGTACACGTGCATGTACTGACTTGTGCAGATAGACAGAGGACAATGAGTTGAGTCTCTCTATTTGCTCCACAGCCAGATTGAGCTCTGAGCGAAGCACAGGCACACTGGAAGAGGTGGGCTTCTCCTCAAAGAAGCTAACACATCGACGGGACACGCTGCCCAGATCTGACTGCAAACCTTTTAGATCCTGTTGTAGTTTCTGCACAACAAGAACAATAACATTGGACTGTCACTCATTTGCATTTAGGGGAGTATCTAAAACAAGTCTTATCAAGAGTTCTTCTAGACAGACAAACTCTTATCAAGAGCAATACAAGTGTTTGTTGTCTCCTTGGTAGACCTATCCTTTGCAAATAGACTAGAATCTAAGGATACCGGTATTGCCAGAAGGAATTTTTGTCTGCAACACACTGTTGTCTCAACTGTGATGAGGTGTGTTAAGTCAAATTTGGTACTGCGAGAGATCAACAGTACGACACATGACATTTCTTGGCCAGAAGAGGGGGCTGGTATACCACTTACGGCTTACCTCTTGTTCTGCTATATGAATAGCAGTGTCTGCACCATCTCCTGACAGGCCACTGGGGGGTGAAGCCTGCATGCCCCTCATCAGCCTCTGCTCTGCTTCCTGCAGGTGAGACTTAATGCTCTGCAGCTCTGAGAGGTATGAGCGAGATATCGATTCATCCTTTTCCACTAAGAGAGAAAGATGTTGAAAGAAAGAAAAACCCTGAGACATGACCCTAACCAATCAAAAAAAACTTTTCTGGAGTCCATTTATAAATATGTATAGATATAAATATAAATATAGTGCATTATTGCCTGCATACCTGTCTCCATGGAGATCAGCAGGGCTTGGCAGTGCTGGCGGCAGTTCTCTACCTCTTTTTCAAGCTCTCGTCTCTCGGATGGTGTGAAGAGGGTGCTCTCGTTACTGTCTGCCAGGAAGTCAGTCAAGTGGGTGTCCAGGTTCTCCAGGGCCTGTTGCCTCTCAGACAGAGACTGGGAGCGCACCTAGAGATACAGAGATGCTAGGGTTGAAGAAACTCTCTGAAGAGTCCTTTTAGAAGAGCTTCACTGGAATGAGTTGCAGCTTAACCTCCTGAATTCTAGGCTTCTTTTCCCCACTTATTAATCTTATTGCTTATGACTCAGTAATAACTAATTGAGATGACTTTTATACTAATATGCAAGTTATGCAGTTATTAGACTAAGAAACTAAGGGTAGGTCCCACATATGGGCCCCTCGAATTTAAGAGCTTAAAATACTGACTGTATCCAGGGTCCAAGACGAGATGATGTTGATGTCTTTCTGCAGATAGTGCCAAGTTACAACACTCTTCATGTTCATATGCAACTGATGCCATAATGACATTACATTCTGATACAGCTGCTCCATTCTACAGACAGGAGACATGAGTATTTCATTAGCATTCTTGTTTGCAAGACCCAGAAGTTAAAATTAAATAACTAGATAAATAACTAGAGTAACTAAAGTGGTCTTACTCTTTTTGCACTAACCAAAGATTTCTATCTATCTGTTTAAGAACTTCAGTGACTGTATACAGTGACTTTCCACTTTAGTTATTCTAGTTATTTAGGGGAATACACATCCATGAATGTGAGGTACCTGTTTGCAGTGTCAATGGCTTCCTTGTTAGGGGGTGGAACGGTGAAGCACACTGAAGGTACCATAGCCTCATTTCCTGTGGGACTGATGATCTTCCACTTCGTCCTCTGAGAGTTATCCTCCAACACACACTCTTCTCCTTTACTGACTGTGATCTAAGATAGACAGAGAAAGAGAGAGCAAGAGCAAGAGCGTAGAAGTGAGAGAGAAAGAGAGAGAAATGGATAGATGGAGAAAAGAGGGAAGAGGGAAGTGGTGGTAGGTAAGGGAAAAAAGTTTTGAAAAATTAAGTAGAAAAGCATAAATAAAAAATGTAAAAGTAAAATATTCTATGTTATCAAGCAAACGGTGAGAAATAAAATGTTAATGCTAATGGGCCTCAAATGGGTAACCAAATTAAAGTATGATGTATCAATGCAGTTTTTTCTTATGTCTCCTTGGAACTATGCTACAAATATAATGTAAACCTGTAGTGTAACATAAGCTTATCTGAACACCATTTAAGGCTTTTTGCTGAATTGAAGCCTGTTTTAAACAGGCTTAGGTCTTTGCAGCATAAGAACTAAAGTTGCATGTTAACTAAAAAATAAACTGGGGATTTTTTAGCAAACAAATCAGAAGGGGAGGCGTGTGTATGAAGAGTCTGATGCCCCACCCACCCTGTCACCCTGCCCCCTGCACACAGAGCAGACTACTGTCCTACAGTATGATGTGAGGTAGCAGAAATCACTGCTGCTGGCTCAGACAGCTACATCTCTTTGTGACTAATATATGCACCATACACAGATGCCAGAAATAGCGCAATGCCACAAAAATGAACTCAGTCCCACTTTGCAGTTAGTGTCCCACAACCTGCATGCTAAACAACTGTATTTCTAAATGTCAAGTGCTAAAGAAGGTTGAAGTGCTTCATCTATAAAAAATTAAATAAATTTGAAAAACAAAAAACAAACAAATAAACAAAAAAACCCTATAATAGCCTAACTATAACTGAAAATTTCAGTATTTTTTTTTCTCAGTTGCCCAAATTTTGGTGCGGCCCTAGTTACAACTTCTTTTTACGTGAATAAAATTGTACACTAAACAGATAAAGACTGCTACTGTGTGAGCATGAGTAGGATGCTGGAGGCAAAGTGGGAGTATTACAGCATCAAATTTGAAATGAGTGTGCAGAGCCAGGTCAAAGAGCAGAGGGCAGAGGTAAAAGAGTGATTAGCAGCAGTACCTGAGAGTTGGCCTTGCCAGCCCCGCAGACACACAAGAGGAAGGGAGGAGGAGAAGGGGAGGAGAGCGAGAGAGAGAGAATGGGTAAAATAGGAGGGGGGGAGTAGGGATAAAGAGAAAGGGAGGTGGGAGGAAGGGGGGGAGGGGAGAAAGAGATTATTTTTGGGCATTGTTAAGACCCTGCCTTACTGTGATAAATGCGATTATGGGTGAAAAAAAAAACAACTGATGAACAGACCTACGGCTGGCGCATGTCTGAATATTTATGATTGAGCAGAATAAAAATGAACGTGAATGACACCAACTCAGATCACGCATGAGTTAATGTACTGGTCTATGCATATATCTAGGTACAATGGGTGCTTGCCCAGTGTGGAGTGAGGTACGAGAAGTGTATTCAACAGTGCTGCAATTCAGACAGTAATCACTGCACCTCCACCAGCCTGTGCCGCTCTGCTCCCGCCTCAGTAAGCACACATTCTCCATAAGTGCAGCAGTAGTGAAAAGGCACTTCTGCCACCACGGAGCCACAGCATCCAGGCTGTACTCTGCCCATGTGCTGCACATTCGCAGGCAGTGATGTTTAATGCAAGAACCTTTCAAAGCTCACGTGACATCACAGTACACCTGCCAGCAACAAAAAGCACTTTCACATTTTCCACCTGCTGGGAAATCAGCAGAAAATGGAGAGCTTTCCATGTGCTATGCTTGCATTTCAGTGCATTATAGAAGAGAGTGACGCAACTGTGACAAGATGGCAGCAGTCTTCAAGACTCATCTCATTCTCTTGAGGAAAAAAAAAAAAAAAATGCTGCGCCTGTGATTCCTAGACCTGAAAATGTAGTCCCATCATCACCTACACTGTTTCAAGAGCCTGTATCCTACATTTTCTTTTTTGGACTAGGGAGTGAATGGTACATTTTCAAACTTAGTGTTAACATATTACATCCAAAAACACAAATTCTAGTTTCCATGATATGGGCCCTTTAAAGCTTTGAGAGGTATCACATTTGTCATCAAGAATTTTGGGTAGACAAGTCACAAGTCACAGTTCATTTTAATACTCAATCCCTGGGTTTGTCAATGCCAGCCACAATGTGAGAAAGCCTTGGGGACAAACCATCTGTTTGACTACACACGGATTCACTTCATTATTGCCTTGAGAAGGACAGACAATGGGAGGCAAGAGTATGGCGTGAGCAGGGCGTGAGCAGGGCGGGATGGGAACATTCAAGAGAGTGCACACTGGCAGCCCTTAAAAAACAGGGCTCAATACAGAGCATGACAGGTGAGCTGAGGTGAGGGAGGAGGGAGTTGGTGGGAGTGCACTGTTGATGTGTGTCATACCTCTATCTGTCTGTAGTCGCAAATGGCACGAATGGGCGTGGTGGTACCTAGAATGCAGTCAGCGCTGCGTGGGCGGAGCTGGACCACTGTCTTTGCCCGCCCTACCAGGCTGGCCACTGAACTACGGTACTCAATCAGCTGCTCCTTCTCTTCCTGTCAGAGAATTGTTGGAAAGTTTGTTAACTGATCTGCATGGATCATCGCTCAAATCAAATCAAATGGCAGAACACTGATGAATACCATTTAAACCAACACATGTTGCATCAATATCTCCAAGAGAACACTTTTGAGCCTTTATATGAATATGGAAAACACTGATTAAATGAGAGTCAATTTGATGTAATGCAGCATCAAAGACCATATTAACCTGTGTATAATATAATGACATTTAAATTATTTGTATTTCAAACAGAAATGATTATGGTTTCAGTGACCTCTATATCATATTACCTAGCCCCAAACGTTCACTCTACTTTGTCTATTGCTAATATCTTGATACTTAAATCAAGCTTACTTAAAGTAAAATAAATTTTTAAAGAAATATGTAACCTAAATGTAATGTAATAATAATATAATATTCGTATATAATCATTAAGTTCCAGATTAATGTCTGTCTCCTTAAACCAGTTTAAAAGTAGTGCCAATATCCAAATATCGCAAGCGACTTTAAGGGGGTTTGAGCATTAGCGTGTGGTTGGCACTAATGCAGTTAAAAGAAGATCAAACTGTCAGATGCAGTTTTTTAACTAAACAGAGATCAAAAATTACAACCACACAGTCTTGAGGACAATGAGTAATGGGACTGTTTTAGGGAGTCTGTCAGAAGCAGTAAATTTGTGTTACATTCCGAACAGCAAATTAAAGGCAGCTGCATAGAGTCATCTGTCGAAAGCTTATTGAATCTCTTCCCCCAGTGAGAAATGTGCTCTGAAATACACAACATACTCAACAGAGCCCTGCTGTTAAACTGAAATGCAGAAAATCTTTTACCTGCCACTGCATCCCCACAGAGCAAAAATCAACTCAGACCATACTGGTTTGCAAGTATGTCCATTACTTTACACTGAAGTAGAACAAGGTACAGATGGATTTTGCTGCGTTTAATTTCTAGACACTATTTTAAACAGTGTAAAGCTAGAAGGTTGTGATTATCCTCAGGATTTCACTTCCTTTAAGGAAATCATCTTCCAGAACTTTTCCAAGACAAACCCCAGGACAATTTCCATGAGTTATATACATGACAGCTTTCCCTCATGAATGGTCATCTTAAAAATGGTATACAACTGCTGACATCCTTAACATTAAAAGTCAACAATACAACCCTAGCAAGCCCTTACCAATAATTATCTGATCACAAGCACTGCTAAAACATTAGAAGTGACTGTTACAAGAAGCTGGCATGTTAATATAGTCTTGCTCTACCAGGTGTTCTGACACAGCATCCACACATTTGTCCAAATGCAACACTGTAATATTCCAAACCACAGTGAATGAATGGACATTCAAACTGGGCAACAGTAACTTTTCATATTTTTCAGGTGTTTTCCATGATAGAAAAAAATAGTCTTCAAATATCTACGACATGTGGGAACTATGATCCTTTTTAACTGAATATTAAGTGCATGCACATTGCTTTATAGCAGTCCTCCAGTGCCAGCTGTATCTCTCTTTTCCTGATGGTCACAGAGGAAATGCTCACTGCTCACGCTCTCTCTGTGGCAGACCTCTCTCACAGTGCCATCTGCTGTGTGCTAGCCAGGCCATGAGCACCAACCAAGCTCAACAGACCTGTCTATGTGGGGGTGTGTACATGCATGCATAATCAGAGAGCCAGAGAAAATGATCTTACCATAGAGTCTTGCAGCAGGTCCTCCAGTTTGCCTAGTCTGCTGTTTTTGTCAGATGTGTATTGCCTTTTAATGGTGTCTTGAAGCTGCCGCAAGTATGTCTCACACTCTCGCGCATCACTCATGAACTACAAAAAGAATATAACAACAACAAGGTGTAACAGGGTTTCATCCAAATGGTCACATGGATCAAAAAAGAAAAAAAAAGCCATAAATAATGTGAAAATAAATTCCAGACTCAGTACCAGAAAGTAGGCAGTGTTGTCCTTGAGGTGCTGCTCCACACAAATACATAGTTGTCTGACCCACTGCCACTGTGTCTGCAAGGCAGCACTGTAGGCCTGTGGTGGTTACAGATATCATGATTAGCATCAACCTACATATTTTCTTCAAATATTTATGTTACAACGATGATGAAGAAAGTTACAGAAAAGATGTCTGAACATATTCAGATTTATTCTTGCATTTAACATTTTGAAATATATTAAATTAATGCACTGTAACTTTGATCCAGTTTCTGCACCTCTATAATGTCTACGTTGGAAAAAGTCTATGTTTTGGGCAGGCATGCATGATGATTGAGATCCCACCTCTACGGTCTGTTTGGCTGGGTGGTTATCCTGACACAGCTGATCAGCTGTTTCCTGCAAGGACCGCATCACTTCCTGTTTTTCCTCCAACTCGGACCTCATTTCCTGAGACAGAATGTTAAATATTAAAGCACCTGTGTCTTTTCTTTGTTATGTAATCTTTCTGAGGGCAAAGGGACACTCTAAACATTGTTGCATCTGTTCATCTTGTTGTTATTATTCTCTGCTGACAAATCACAACAGGTAATAAGACGTGCACTAAAAGCAGCTTGATAGAAGGATCTGTGTATTTCAGTGAAGAGAAACAATGGGACAAGTTCATCTAAGCAGATGAACAGACATATTAAAACGTGCCTCATACAATTTAAGACCTTTCAAGATTTCATTCAACTCTCAGTGGGTTATTCACGCTGGATTTGAAGAAACTATCCTAGTTTATATGTTCTTGGGGATCCATGCCCTTTATATGAATAAATCATATTCTCTTTGGATTTAGACTGGTATTATGTTGGGTCAATATATGAGGCTTGAAAATAGCTATCAACATAAAAGGAAAATCAAGAAGTGTATGTATTTGTGGTGCATTTGTGTCTCTGTAAATATGCTGATTTGCATTATTTTGCTAAAGGAAAAAAGTATCATAAATGAAGGTGCATTACAATAGCAGTGGTACAAGCTACTGTAATTTCACTAAAGGACACCTTGGCTGATTTCAAGATGAAGAGAAAATGACAGCACTTGATGCTATTATAGAAACAATGTTGCTCTCAGTCTTTCCATGGTTATCATGTAAAAACGAAAAGGGGTAAAACAGAACAAGAGGATTAGTTATATATTGGACAGGGATATGATACACTGTTCTACAGAGTTCTTCTTGTCTGCTCTGTGCTTTATGTGTCACTCACAGCATACTGCTCTCTCTTAGCAGTCATGTTGGTGTTGTTCTCACTCCAGTCGAAGGCCAGCTCTTCTTCTTCCTTTTCATTCAGCCAGATGAGCTCCTCAGTGCAATGAGACACAAAGGCTCGTAGGCTCTCCAGGCAACGCAGTCGCCATGACGAATGCTCCTGTGGCAACATAAACCATTCACAAACAGTGACTCAGATGACCTCAGCATATAAAACACACACAAACACACACCACAAAAAGGCCTAGCTCCCTCCCTCATCCAACCCTTTCACACCCTTCAAATACTTGAGGCACTCCCTGTGCTAACATTGACCTGTGAACTCACTGAGCTGAAATAAGGAGATGACGGATGTTTGTGTGTATCTGTGTGTCAAAGACAGGTGCTATGCAGTCTCCTGTCAATGTCATATGCAGGCTCTTTATATCCTGCTCTTGGTCACAGTGCAAATTCAGTCACATCCTGATTAAGGATGATTCAGAATCTTTCAACATTTAAACAGTCAAAAAAGCATAATAATGTGCAAAACTACATAGTAAATTAGGATTTTTGAATGTAAGTTAGCTTCTTTGTAACATTATCATATTGAAGAAGGGATAATAAACACTGCAGTGACACAAATTGCACACACCCTCAGCAGCTTTATTAAACAAAAGAAACACTCACAAGCAGTTTGCAGTACTGGTTCTCCAGCTTGGCCAAGGTTTCAGAATAACTGCTTCGGAAGTTTGGAGAGACCCTTGGCTAGAGAGAAAAAGTAGACAACTGGGTCTGTACTCTGTATATGCAGGGTTATATGAGATGTAATATTGTGCATGGAGAGCTGGCAGTACCTCATAACTGCGGGCCTCTTTCAGGCTGTGGAGCAACTCCTCAACTGTAGTGTGGATGGTATGGTGATCCTGCAAGTGTTGTTCTACAGAAGGCAGGTCTGAGCCCCACTCAGCTCTCTCCAGCAGCTCCTAACAAGCAAAAATTCACAAATACAGTTCATTACCATGCTGAATAGTTTAGCAAACTTCATCAGTCTCAAATGGAGCTGCTTATGTGGTTTCTGGCACTGGATGACATGCTGTTATCTACAACCCTGTTTCTAAAAAGGCAGGGAAACTATGCAAAATGTAAATAAAAACAGAATTTAATGATGTGCAAATCATTTTAACCCTATATTTAATTGTAAATAGTACAAAGACAACACATCAAAGGTTAAAACTGAGAATTGTTTGCCCTTTTTTTGAAAAATATATGCCCATTTTGAATTTGATGCCGGCAATACGTTTTCAAAAAACTTAGGACAGGTGCATGTTTACCACTGTGTTGCATCACCTCTTCTTTTAACAACACTCTGTAAGCGTTTAGGGACCGAGGAGACCAATTGCTGCAGTTTTGAAAGTGAAATTTTCCCATTCTTGCTTGATACAGGATTTCAGTTTCTCAGCAGTTCAGGGTCTTCATTGCTGTATTTCTCATTTCACAATGCGCCAAATGTTTTCAATGGGTGACATGTCTGGACTGCAGGCAGGCCAGTTTACCACCTGGACCCGGAGCCATGCTGTCGTAATACATGCAGAATGTGGTTTGGCAGTGTCCTGCTAAAATAAACAAGGCCCTCCTTAAAAAAGATGTCGTCTGGATGGCAGCACATGTTGCTCTAAAACCTGTATATATTATTAAGCATTAATGCCGCCTTCACAGATGTGCCATGCCATGCACACTGACGGAGCCCCATACCATCATGGATGCTAGCTTGTGAACTGTGCGCTAGTAACAAGCCAAATGGTCCCTCTCTTCTTTAGCCCCGAGGATGCGGCATCCATGATTTCTAAGAAGAATTTCAAAGTTTGATTCGTCGGACCACAGGACACTTTTCCACTTCAATGCATCTTAAATGAGCTCGGGCCCAGAGAAGGTCGGCATTTCTGGATTTTATTTATATATGGTTGCTTCTTTGTATGAGTTTTACCTTTCATTTGTGAATACAGTGACAAACTGTTCACAGGCAATGTTTTTTTGGAAGTGTCCCTGAGCCCATGCAGTGATTTCCACTGCAGAATCATGTCTGTTTTTAATGTAGTGCCACCTGAGGGCCTGAAGATCACAGTTCTCCAATACTGGTTTTTGGCCTTGTCCCTTACATACAGAGATTTCTCTGGATTCTCTGAATCTTTTAATGATATTATGTACCATAGATGATGAAATCTTCGCTGTTTTACATAGAAAAACATTATTTTTGAATTGTTGCACTAATTGCTCCTGCACCCAGAGTGGTGAACCACTCTCCCCATCTTTACTTCTGAAAGACTCAGCCTCTCTGGGATGCTCTTTTTATACCCAATCATGTTATTGACCTGTTACCAATTAACCTAATTAGCTGTGAGATGTTCCACCAGGTGTATTTTTAGCATTATACATCTTTTCTTTTGCACAGTTTACTGTTCCAACTTTTTCAAATTTCACTGATGCCATCAAATTCAAAACCAGCATATATTTAAAAAAAAAAAAAAGAAATTTCTCAGTTTCAACATTTGATATGTTGTCTTTGGACAATTTTCAATTAAATATAGAGTTTAAATGATTTTCATATTATTGTATTCTGTTTTAATTTACATTTTGTGCAGCGTCCCAGGTTTTTTGGAAACGGGGTTATATAAAAAATGGACAAAAGTAGTAGGAACCATCTTATAGCTATAATTTGTCTGTACCTTTGTCCATTTGCAGTAAAGAGGCAACTTTCAAACATGGCTTGACAGACTGACTACATTAGAGGTAAGGGGACAATTGTGTAAATGTGATTTTTTTGTTAAACTACTCCTTTAATAATATTTTAATGTTCTCTCTTGAATTTCTCTTCACGTCTCTTTATATTACAGACCTGCGTCTCCTCCACCCATCCCAGAAGCTCATAGATAAACCGTAAACTTCCTTCATCCTCCGACGATGACATGGCTACCAGGTCTGAACGGGACATTGGGCGTCTAATCAGGGTTGCCACTGCACCAATTGCCCCCAGCAGTGTCTGGGCTCCAAGTGTTGCCAGGCTGCCTGCAGAGCCCCTCTGAGCAGTTTGCTCTCCCAGCAGCCCTCCGGACGAGAAGTGGCCTTTCCTGTACACACTGGAGCACTGCAGCCGCAGGGAGACCAGCTCCTCCTGCAGACGTGTCACTCTGCAGAGCAGAGTCAGTGAAACACAGCACACAGTCAAACATGCAAAACGAATGGCAGCCTTTATGCAGAGTTTATAAATATTTTACACTCAGCACACTTTTAAAACCACTAATATCAAGCTCTCATGTCAGTTTTCATTATTAATAATAATAATAATAATAATTAAATTATTTTCCAAGTTTCATATTTCTCGACACCAAAAGTAAGAAACAATTCATTGTAAATCCTTACCTGCCAAATAAATTCTGATTGTAAGATTCTGATTTACACCTCATCCTATGCTCATCTCAAGCAGAAATGAAGATCAATATCCTGCTTTCATCCTCTATTCTTCATGCTGTCCTACTTTTCCTAGCAGTAATACAATAAAGCGGTAATAACCCTCTCCCTCTCACCCACCTGAAGGCCAGCTGTTCTACTTGGTAGTATTTCTCATCTCGGAGGACCTGCAGGTCCAGGTGCAGTTGGCGGACCAGAGCCTCACAGTCCTGCATGTATGCGCCCAGCTCCTGCTCGCACCGTGCTGGCTCGCCACTCTCTAGGTGTGACATGTCCTGCAGTCATACACATACACCACATGCACAGACTTAGAATCATTGCAAGCCACCTCTCACAGGTTAGGGCACAAGTGGGTAAAAGCTGATTTTGCATATTCAGGAGTTCTGCCTCGGTATGGGTTACTCACCGCCTGCAGTGTGTTCTTGGCCAGCGTAAGCTTCTCTTCACAGTCCACAGCCATATTCTGAAACTTATTAGCCATTTGCAGGAGCAACTCCAGCCTGAAAGCCAAAGACAGTAACACCGTTATACACAACTCTTAGAAGAACGAAAAATGTGGCTTTATTACCCTCTCATAGACCCTCCTGTGAGCCCATTAAAAGCTCTACATCTCTGGATGTATATAGTGATCTCTTTCCCTCACCTCTCCACAGCAGGTCGCAGTGCTTTCTCTCTTTCTAACATCTCCAGGATCAGTTTACCCCACTCCTCCTCCAGGTCGTTAGGGTGCAGACCCTGGGGTAGCTTGATTCGGCCAAACTCTATCCATACCTGAAATGAACAAAGGTCCTTTGTAGTTGTTTTGCCGACGCTTATCTTGTCTTTGACTAACAATCATCTAACTATCTAGTGAAGACAATGTAACTTTTCCTTAATCATAAATCTAACACTTAATCAAACCCTAACCCAAACCAAATTCCTAATGAATAGGGCTCTAATCCCAAACCTAATACTAACACTGTTGAAAGTTTGTTGTTAATTTGACCATTTGTAGATAAGCTACACAGAACTTTTAACATAAAGTGTGAACCATATACAGTTCTGTGTTGAAATATATTTGTTTTTTCCCTTTTATGCATTCATTGCTTGTGGTTCCTCCTCCTGCATGCTTTTCACAAGAGCATGCACCACTATGATGTCTGTTATCCCGGGAGCCTTGTTCCTGCAGTGCTCCACTGGGCCTCATGACGAACAATGTGACCTGCATTCAGCAGTAGAATCAAGGTCAACCTCCAGCTTCTCAGTTCCTTCCCTATGTTTTCACTCTTACTCTCTCCTCCTTTTAATGCAAATCTGTCATTCTCGCCATCTCACCTCCAGCAGCTTGTAAAGGTGTTTGATGTGGCCTTTCTCTAACTCCTTAGCAGGAATCTCTGTTTCTTTAAAGTGGATATACTCGTTATAAAGTGCCTAAAAGGAGAAAAGGACACTAATTAACAGTGATAACCATCAATCTCCACCTTCAAGTGGGTCATTACACACACACACAAACACAAAAAAAGCTGAGTGTTGCAAAGTGAACAATGAATTATTAAATAAAGCAATAAGGCCTCAAAGCTGTGCATTACAGTGTGATCTCTGAAACCCAAGGACTTGAGTGGCGTGGTTTTGTGAAATGGTGTCAAAATTAAATATGATACAATATGATAAAATGTTTGATATTGATAACACCTACTCTGTTGGGATCCTGACTACTGAAGAACAGAGTAAAAGGGGGCTAACGAAGTATGCAGAGAAACAGACAAGACTATAGTTTGCAATTGTAAAACTACAAAGTGCACCTGTATGGTACGAAGAACTGCTAAAATGGACAATAAGCATAGAAACAAAGCTTTAATGTTATGGCTGATCAGTGTACAGTACTGTCCAAAGGTTTTAGGCACCTGAGAAAGCTACATTTAAAAGCTGTTTAACTTGGCAGCAAGTGTTAACTTGCTCCACAACCTGGTTTGTCTAATCAGTACTTCATTAAACTAAATCAGGTGCAGGTGATGGATTTGAACGAATTTATGTAATGGCTCAGGGCATTGAGGAGAAATCTGAAACCAAACCATTGTTCTAATCAACTCACATCTCAACTATCTTTTTAGAATACAAAGACATTCTTGCTTTATTTTACTGTATTTATGTTTATTTGTATTTAATCTAATGTTATGTAGCAGCATGCTTACTGCTGAGATATATGATTTTAGTCAATTTGCTGAGGTGCTTGAAAGCTTTGCACAGTACTGTATACGCTGCATGCACATGCACACGTGTATAATTTTCATTCTTTCATCCTTTTTCATCCGGCACATTCTTTCCTGACTTTTCTGAGCCACTGTGCTTGCCTAATGCTAATATTTCCACCATAGCTAGCCTGGCTGTGTGTTTACCTTGAGCTCCACAGGATTCTGAGGGAAGCCCTTGTTGGCCATGAGGGCCGTGTGCTGCCTCGTCCACTGAAGCAAAGAGGAGAAACGAGACTGGTACTCTGCCCAACGCTGGTCAACCTCCTGAGAACAAGAAATGTACCAAACATGAATGAAGGGGGGGCAAGCAGTGAGAGAGAGAGAGAGAGAGAGAGAGAGGGAGAGAGATAGAGAGAGAGCGAGATAGAGAGAGAGTGAGAGTGTCATCATTATCATTATTACTATCATTATTACTATCATCATTCACCAATAGCTTCCTAAGTTTTTTCTTAAATCTGTTCTCCAGAAAGGTGCTTCTATGTCAAATTTATGACGCAATCTTAAACTCCAGAAATGTTTTGTATCCTTGTGCCCTTGAGCATATGTAGATTCTGATCTTACCTAAGAATAAATCCCAAATAAGAAAACAATGGTGAATATCAGAATCTTTGTTAAAACTATGTAAGTGGCTCAGAGGTCATTACAAAAAAAATGTTTAAATTAATAGTTATTGTTGAGGTGTACCAATAAATGAATAAACAGAACTCTGGATAATAGCAGCAGCAAGGGGATAGGAACTGTTAATCGTTGCAGCTCTGTGTGGAGGACAGATGAACTTACGTGTGGTGTGATGCCCTCTCCTCCCTCTGGAATTTTGGGAAAGGCATCATAAATTGAGGACACGTAGGTGATGACCGATTTCTCATCTGGTGATGGCACGTCCACATCTAGTGGGGGAGGGAGAGGAAAGAGAGAGCACAAAAAGAATGAGGCCAAGAAACAGGGAGAGAGAAAAATGTGCACGAAAGCAAATAAACATGAAATTAGAGATGTGTGACTGAGGACAATGGCAGACAGCATAAAAAGAGAAAAAACAAACTGAACTGAACGTTACCTTCTGCGTCCAGAAGTCGTGTTACCCCAAGTGATTCCGCAATCTCAAATGCTTGCTCCAGGTTTTCCCGGTTAGTCTGCTGTGCCACCACCTCCATGTCAATAAGATCTGGCCTGAATAACACAATGGCGATGAGAATAGTGGTGTCTATGTGAGTGGCTTTGTATTTGCACAGCATTATAGCTACACAAGTGCTATCTACCATCTAGTATGGTGCTGTAACAAAATTCAGCATTCCTAGCTGCGAACTCAGATGTCAAATATTTCTGTTTAATATTATGGTGTTCTCTCATTATTTCACAAGACTTGCACTAATGAAAACTAAACCCACTAAAGCTCTGTGCACTCAGCAAAGCTATGGAAATGCAAAAAACTGACAACTACAACTGCAATCAAATTTTTTGTGACATCTGTCAGTGTGTAGTCAGTCACCGAAGGACAACCCCATGTCCTTGTGTGTACCTGTATCTGTGCAGCAGGGCATTGAACATACGGCCATCGCTCCAGCTGGAAGAGAAGTTGACACAGCGCAGACCGGGGTAGCCCTCAGTGGCCTGCTGTGTCCACAACAGTAGCTTCTCCTTAGCAGTCAGGTCCCCAGACTCCCCACTCACATAAATCTCAGAGATCTGATGAAGAGAAAGTAAGAGATTGACCTCTCAATCAAACAGTAGGTCTAAAAATGTAAACTAGCAATGCAGACTTACAATCACAATCAATACACCCAGGTTTCTTTCAAAATTTTCCACATTTTCACGACTAACACCCTGCCACACATCGCCACTTTCCGAGGTGTATTCACTTAAGCCCTGAATTTATTTTTCAGTTATTCATCTTAAGCATTATTATTCAGCAACTACTTACATCATTTAGCAACTATCATGAAACCAATTTGTCTATGTCGATGTAAATTCTGAGAGAGAATAAGCGAAGGGTGAGCCCACATACTGGCTTTTAGAGTTCATGAGGTTAAGTGAGGGGAAAAAAAAAGTTTTAGTTTCATCAGCATAAAACTGTGACTAAATAGATTATGGTTCTAGTTGTGGTTCCAAAATCTGATTGGGTGAGCCAGGTTTGAAGCTGTAAAAAAAATACCTGATATACAGTCAAATGACAAACATGACTAAACAGCATCCTGTATTACTGAAACAAGTCATTAAAAACCATCATATTGTTCATGGAGTAATCTTTGACAGTTACATTGCTATGCAATTTTGTCACCAGCCTCTTAAGACCATGAGCTTCAGTAACTGTACTGTAGTGTGCGGGGGCCTACTTAGTTCTTTATTTACTAATACTTAAGGCTATAGGCTATATTTTTCAACACTCAGCTTCATGTTCATCAAAGTAGCTTTCTTGGTATGAAAATTAGGTTCTGCTTCCAATTAAAACTATTTTTAAAAACTATTTTTTAAAAATTATTGAAAGTCTTTGACCCCAGTGGTAGTTTAAATATTTTGCAGGTTGCTCTGAACTGTTACTCATAACATAGCTATGCAAATCGTGACAGTTGCACACAAATTGAGAAATGGTCTGCAGGGTCTTGCACACATTTCTCCTCCTCCCCGTGGTGTGTTAGCTGCCAGGGTTCATCAGGGGCTTTTAGCAGTGCTTTCAGCCAGCAAGGTGTTTGTTACTTCACTTTCATTAATCATTGCCTCCCATCCATCCAGTGTGTCTGTCACAGTGTTAAGCCCCAATTGCATTTTCTCATTAGTCTCAATAAAAACTGCTCATTTCATTAATGGTTTGCTCTAAAATGCTTCATCATTTTTCTTTCTCTCCAACATGTCCTCTCTTCACTAATCGTCACATCAGTTTGACATTCACTCTTCTGCCAAATCCATCCAGACTTCATGTTGTCCCTTGTGCCCATTTTTTAGTTTTTCCAACACTCTCCGTAAGGCCACACTTATTCAAACCCTTTTCTACTCTTTTTTTCTTCATTCTAACAAAAGAAGGCAGTATGCAATATCAGCCTGTGCCTGGCTCTCATCATTTGTATTCCTCTGTCATCCCTCTCACACCCTCTCCTCTTGTTCCCCTAGAGCTAGCCCAGTGCAGACCGAAACTAGGAGAACAGCAGATAGCTATCGACTGCAGAGAATCAGAGCAAGAGACAGGGAGGAAGAGAGAAGGAGAGGGGGGGAAAGAGAGAGATAGAAAGGGATGTGGGAACGAAACTCCAGACAGCAAAGCCAACAAGATTAACATGGTCAAATTTGGTGGTATACAGAAACAGTACAGCAGCCACCCTGGTTTGAGCCTCTTACAGTAAAGATGATTAAAAGGTGAGGTCAACCTGCATCGACTGCAAAGGCACTTTAGCCTGGCTTCTCATTGGGCCAAAGCACTTCACATAGTCACACTGTTACATTCACACAGGATGATTAGTTTTGAAGTGTGTCTATATGGACATTAATTTACACTGTCACTACTATCACTAAACTTCTTTCACCTGTATCTGAATTCTGTCTCTGAATTCTGTCTCTTCTGATCTGAAACTATTCTGTCAGCCAAAAAGATCAAAAGTAAATCCATGCCAAAAAAGAGGTACTTATCACAGGCAGATCCTAAGCTCACTCTATTCTAGGAGAAACCTACAACCCTAGAGAAGTGAAGCTGCTCTATATAGCAAAGCACAGTTCAAGTTTCATAGATTCTATGGGTTTCTTACACAATCAGCTAACTACTAATACATAGGACAAACAAAGTGCCATTTAATTAGTTGCAAAAAAACTACATTTATGGCAGAAAAGTATCCATAGAGTTGATCTAAACAGAAAATTTCCAAACTCAACATACTTATTCCTAACTATATCTGTGTCTCCAAGTGTTAGGCACTGGGTAGTTGGATTTCCATGCAAGTCTGGTTCACTGAGGCTGAAGCTTTACATCAGCATCAGGTCAGAGCGACACTGAGCTGCTCTCAACACCCGACAACAGATTGCATTACACGGTTCACAGTGTTCCAGGCACACACAAGGCAGAGAGCATATGTATCTTTGAGGAACAACTGCACTGTGAAAACTTAGAGGGAAAAAATCAATACACACATACATGTGACAAAACATTTACGTAGACGCTAGAACTGGAACGGAAAAAAGAGCCATGCTAAAAGAACAGAGAGCTAGAAAGACACAGAGGGACGCAAAAATGAAGATGACCTGTCCCCCCCCCCGAGACTGTCTGCTTGCAGTCGGCCTGATTAATGTGCATATCAAATCCATCTTGAAGCGCAGACATGCAGGCAGACGTGAGGAAGGGAGTCAGCACACAGCGTACCCCTTACACAGCAGCATAGCATAGCACAGGTACACAATCATAGACGCAAGCATCATAGCATCCTTAAACCAAGCCACAACATGGGACTGCAGTGCATGCTTCTGTGTGTATTTATGCTGGTGTGTGAACATTAGGGCTGCGTGATAAAGACAAAATGTCATATTGCCATGAAATGCCTTGCAATATATAACCTTTAACGTGACTGACCTTGATTGCTTTCACCGAAACAATTGATGTTGGGTTAGATTATGACAATGCTAAAACAGCAAAGGAACACTGATTGTGGAACATCGAAGACTGATCAGGATGCTGCCAGCACACACTAACAAATGCCTAGTGTTATGCCTAGTGGACACTACATGAATTTTGAGTCTCAGAATTGCTGTACTGCTCGCAGTATACTCCATTCACCGCTTGCAACCTCTTATTTGCCGAAGCAGTGATATGCACACCACACAAGCAATCACAGATGAGGCTCTCATACTACTTGAGCTTTCAGCTTGAGAGACCTGTGTTAAACAGTGCCTGATGACGAAACCCCACTGTCTCACGGAAACAAACTCGAGATGTGCCTATGGCCCAGGACACACCAAGCCACTGCTGGCGGTCGGACTCAGTCAGGCCGTTGGTAAGCATCGGCGGCTGTCTGTCGCTTGCAGTCAGTGTGATGTGTATGGTACCGCTGGCTTTAGTCGGTCCTCGTCAGCCTTTTTTTGGCTGATTGGGCATGATGAATCTGTGTCGGCAGTCAACCATAAGAGAGGGTGAACGAGGAGAGAAACAAAAGCAGCAATGCAAGAAAACGGCACCCTCAAGAAGACATGCATTTTTCAATGCCAGTGTTAGTAGAAAAGTTTTAGCACTAGGAATGGGTTTTTTTTAAACATTGTTTGCTATTTGACTGTTTTAATATTTAAACAAAAAACATGATTATTGTATTCCAAACAAGCAAAAAAATTACTGTTATGAATAAACGCGGATGTACGAGAGCTCTACTGGTGCTCTGATAAGCCACCAACATAAAATAAAGCATTAAATACAAAATCATTTAATGGACTTTCTTTACTTCCATCATATACATAGAAACATACAACATGAATTTTAATTCACTGTGTAACGTACAAACTATCAGTTTGAAGTAGCCTCTTTACCCACTCAGTGCCGCTAACAGTGGTTTACTTTCACACTCTACGTTTAGCTTCAACACGGACATTTGAACCTTGTAAGACATTCAAACACTGCATTCTTTACTTTGTGTGCCACAGTTTTAGACAATTGCCAGCTCCTGCTATAAAGCGTTGCTCCCTGTCGGACACACACATTAAGTATGTGCGGGTTAGTCATCAGTTACAGTCTTCACTGTGTCTGAGTGCAAACTTTCTTAAGAGACAAGAAGTGAAGGTGAGCTGACAGAAGGCGATCAGTTGGACATGGTTGGTACATCGGCTTGGTGTGTCCTGAGCCTACCTGCCAAACTGGAATGGGAGAAACTCATGGTGGTTGTTTCTACGTTAATCTGCGTAGAAAAAAATAAGTTAAAAAATCGATTTCTGTTCATTTGCAAGCAAGGATTTGTGCTTTTTCCATAGCCCATAGCCTCTGTTTCCTGTTTGTTCTGGTTGCTCGTGCCTTTCTCAAAAGCTAATATAAGGCTTTTATATAATGTTTAACAGTATATGGCGCAGCCCTAGGGAGGGTGTGTAAATGATTCCACTCTCAGAGTTTTGCCAATAAAAGAGCCAGTCCAGCAGGCAAATTACCACAAAAATGGACAACACAACACATCTCATTCTTTCTATTCTGGTACACACACTGTTAAGAAGAAATCATCTAACGAACAGCAGGTTGCTTGCACGCTGCCTGTAACAAGGCCATGAAATCTCTCTCTCGCTCCATCCAATAACCATTACTAGTCATCACTGGAGGCAGATGATGAAGAGGGGAGAAGAGGCCACATGCACCCCTCAAATAACTGCAACACTGCTGTAAAAGCAAATGAAACCCCGCTTCTATATGTATAGCAGCTGAGAATGTATCGGAACACATTAACAGCACTCAGATTTGTGGCAACACAAGTGTCAAGACTGACAAGGGAGAGTGGGTGGTGTGAGGATAGAGAAATAATAATGGACAGAGGGAAATGGGAAGAGAGAGAGAGAGAGAGAGAGAGAGAGAGCTGAGCTGCTCTGTGCACTGCTGATTAGGCTCATGGGACATGGTCAGGAAGGAGCTGGAGATGTTTGCTTCATGCACAGCTGATATGCTTAAAAAACAAAAGCGTTTAGGACTGTGGCTTGGTACACATATATAACAAACACAATTACACACATAGCATGTCGCTCAG